AAATAAGTCATAAATAGTGTAAAAATAATTCTGAAGATCAACTTCTCACAAACTAGGAACCCTGAAAACAAGTTAAAAAAGCAAATAAAAACAAATTAGAAACTGAACACAATGCAATTATCTCCAAACTGCACATCAAAAACCGCACATGTCTTTTGATTCAGCACTGTCAGCTGGAGAAATTATAACAAAATTGAAATAAGAAGTCAAACAGGGAGAATTCAATCTTTCAATTATGTACACTATTGAGAAAATCAGGTTTGTGCCATATTTACAGTGATAAGACACAACACATTCTTAGAATAATCAATTACATGAGACTGGCCCACAAAATGTTAAGAAAAATATGCAGTGTAATGCTTGCCAAAATATTTTTTTTTTGCATTTTCCTCTTATTTTGTATTTATGTGATTTTTTGGCAATATAAAAATAGCTGCACGTAGAGATGAACTTTAAAATGTAAAAAATACAAATAAAAATATAATATTTTCTAATGGAAAATCAGATACATACATCTTTTTAAAATGTTATTAAGTTGCATGAAACATTTACAACAGTATAAAGAATATTCACATAAATGTCAACAATAGGTAAGACATTCGTTTGTGAATCCAATTTATTAATATTTCTGAAATACGTGAGAATATCTACCACATTTTGAGAAATGTTGGTAATTTATTGATAAATCAAACATAACAGGTCAGGTTGCAAAAGTCTTCCTATTCCCCAAAGGACAGTTCTGTCAATAAAGCAGCATAGGGAATCTTATGCATTAAACACATTTAAAAAATCAGAAATGCCATTAAAATGTTTCAATATTGGATTAGCAAAACAAAATCCACCAAAAGTTTAAGTTGGAAGCTTATCTCTGCTAATGGCATAAAGTAAATCTAGCCAATATGAAGATATGTCCACAAAGTGGGAAAAAGTAGGGATGGAAGGTCCTTACATTTTAAAATAATTTTAGGTATGTTAATTCCACTAGAAATGATTTTTTAATTGCCAGAATCACATGTGCTTGTTCTTAATTATTATTTTTGAGAACACAAGATTAGATTGCTATGGATTTGATTTTTCAGAGATAGCAGAGGTTTTTTTGTTTGTTTTGGTAGAAATTTAAAAAGTTCACTTTAGTAACATTAATTATTAGTGTAACTTGGCTATGAAGACATAGAGAAAAACAAGATTTCAAATATCAATCTCTGTATGTTCCTATGATTGCTTATTAGAAGATTAAAACACTGCCCACCATTCAAGCATAACTTATTTCTGGGTAAGATAATATATAGTGGCAAAAAAGAAAGGATGAAAAGCAGTATTAGCTTTTTATGGTACAACAGTAACATAAAAAAAGCTTGGAAAATTAAGCACATTTTTTTAAGTGATAAAAACATAAGATACCGGACAATTTTTCCATAGGTCTTGAACGCTGTTTTGAGCATTTTCCAAACTAGCAGATATATGTATGCGTTGTAGACAGAGGACCTGTAACGTGAACTATGGATGCATATGTTCTTGCTGTCCCATCAGAACATCATGCACAGAAAGTAAATTCAAGAACAGAATTTTTTGTTTTTGGTAGACATCCTAGATATTCTTATGTTTTCTATAAAATCAAACAAGAAAGAAAAATCCTCCAAGACAGCTTCTCATAAGGAAAATGAAAGCTAGAAAAAAAATTGGGGCGTATTTGTGTGTCAGGTACTCTATGAATGTGTTAGACTTCTCTAACATTGGTTTTGTCAGACTTAATCAAATGAAATAAGCTAAAATATGAGGAAGAAAGTTGATAAAGGCATATGGTACATGAAATGAACATGAAATAAAAGGATCCATGATCCAAGTAAACACACATCATCTATAGGTACACTGTTTTGTTTTACATTAGGAAAGACTGGTCATTGAACCATATTACAGCAAATTCATGAACTTTAAAAATAAAATCACACACTAACAGTTTAGGAATGCTATTAAACAGAAAAATGAAATTATCCATAGTAGAGTTGCATTGTTCATAAAGAAAAAAAAATGCATTAGCACCAACATGAATGGAAAACAATTTCAAAGCTAAAACACATACCAATTTGGCATCCTTAAAGGATGCTTATCAGAAATAGAAGTAGCTCTTGACTTACTTCCAATGTATCGTTCATGTATTTTTTTCTCAATCCTCTACCCAATAATACAAATTAAGGGTTGAAATCTTAAAGAAAAATAGATATCTGCCAACACATATATCAGCAGATATACGTTATTAGTTCATTCAGCAATTATTTGAGGATTCTCTATATTGATGACAAAATAGATGGCTGGAAATATTTTAGTAACCAAAAGTTTAAGATTATCCATGGTGGTTAAGACCTAATAATTCCACGGAACAAGGAGAAGTACTATCATCTCTTTGTTTTTCCCAAGGAAATAAATGTAACAGGAGTCTACAGCTTCGTTTGCTCATAGAATAAAAATCAATGTTGTCATATCAGTTGTAGAGCAAAAAACCCAGTACACACATAGGACAGAAGAGTATTCTTAAAGGGCTATGTTCAAAAAAATTTTTTTTGTGTGTATAAAGTGTTTCTCTTTGATGTTGAGGTATTTTGTTTTGAAGCTGTGCAAGTTTTCAATAGTGATTCATCTCAATACCTCTTTCTACTAGAGGAGTAGAAAGAAAGATAGAAAGAAATATAGCCACCAGATTTTTCTCAAGACACTGCTGTTTGTTTTCCTGAAGAGACAGTAGTTCTACCTGCTTTGGTTCATGTTTCCAAACCATGTAAGACAAATTGCTTCAGACATTGAACAATACTTTTTCCTAACCACGTGAAACAAGAGATGGTTGGAAAAGGAAGGCCCTCTATCGTTTTAAAAATGCTGAACTGGCTTCAAGTGTGGAATGTTACTAGAAATGTTACCAATTAGATTGATCTAATAATTTGGACATCTTTCCAATCTCAAAAACTTATTAGAAATAAAAAGAAGGCATTTTGTATAATTGAACATTTGGTTATACAATATGAAAGAGATCACAAGCATCTTAGGATCTTTGTCTTATAGTCATATCTTAACTGTTGTCACCACAAGCCAGTGATGAGCTAATTTCCCCTCTGGTGGTGGAAATTTATGAATGGAACTAGAAATTTTCCCACAAAATGGCATTAAGTCAGGAGAGAAAGTATATTGTCCTATGGGCTGAAAGAGAGACTACTCCTCTTTGATGGTGTTTCTCCTAATGTAACCCTTCCACTCAGAATAAGCATTTCAAAACATATTACCAACTCTTTACTGTGCAAAGAAATGCTCAGTCTAATACAATTAAGTAAGTTTTGAGCAAATAGGTGAAAAAATACTCTATGCCAACTATATTTCACAGCTTTCTGACACACAGATTTGGTCTGTGCATAAGACAAACATTTAGAAATGTAAAAAAAGATAAAGAAATCTAAATATGGACAAAACTTAGATCTAAATAGAATGATAAGAAATAGAAAAGAGTTAATACTATCAAATGTGACCAAATCTTGACTTAACTGATGATCACTATGTAAGTTACAGTCATCATATGAAAAAAAAGTCAAAAAGTACTCAAGAAATTGCTTAACTTTGATGCTTTACAATGACTGAACTGAAAGTGGAGTTTCCTTTATAGTCTCTTCAATTATTCAAAACAAGAGAGAAGTTAGTAAAACGTCATCTTGACTATTGCTACCAAGTTATTAGGATTTGAAGACTTTAAAAAAATTGTTCTAAACAAATGTGACAAAAACTGAAACAAATCTTTTCTTAATATTCCCCGGGACTAGAAAAGAAAAGCATAAAAAAAGGATGAAAAATATCTTTCTGTTTCTAGAACTTTGTAGAAAATGTTCGAAATGCGTTGGATCTTGGAAGGAAGGAGAGCATCAGCTTCAATAGAGGTTGTAGGGTAAGCTCCCCTACAATTTCAGAAGAGGATATTTCAGCCAATCTATTCTCGGGAGTGGTACCCCTTCTCTTTGGTGGGATGTACGCATCCTTTGTCTGCGGGAACAGGGGCTGCCATTCCAAGAATCTCCTATCCAAAAGAAATGCTATATGCCTCTGTCAGTTTCCAAAAGCACCCATATTAACACTTGTTGGAATACAGTTTATTTTTTTTTAAAGTCTGTTGTTCTGGGTGCCCGCCATGTGTAAACCTCTTTCCTACTTGGTCACAGGAGAGACAGTGCAGGATGCCAAACCGGTCCTCTTCCCTTATCTTCACTGTCAAGGGCAGCCCAAGGAAAAATGGTGGCGGCAACCAGCTCAACCCCTTGATATTTCAACCAAGGTGGCCATGTGAGCCCGCAATACTGGAAGCTGAAGGTCTGCAGTTGGGACTGCAACTCCCTCAAAATACAAGACCATTTGTGTGTATGCTCTCCGCCACCTTATCTCTTTTTGGCAATAAGCCATGGTGTAACCCCCTTGAGATGACAAAAGAAATAAAAGCTCAGATGTGATCAAAGGACTCACTAAGCGGCATGCTAGCATCTGAATGACAAGCAGGCTTGGCACACGGTCATGCTTTTTTAGTCAGTTTCAGTGGGTGGTGTGGGCACAAATCAATGCTAACAGTGAAGGTGAGTAGGGATGCGAGGATAAACCCTAAAATCAGTTAGTTAGTATAGTACATTTTCATAGTTTTGAGTCCATATTTGGTCACAATTTCATGTAAACTATTTCATGGCACTTTTTGTCCATGCAATTAACAAGCCCAAAGTCAGAAAAGAGCAAGAACAATCATTCTGTATCACTGATGTGTCCATTTAAATACATATCTTCACATAAGATAAAGAGATACTGATTTATATTTTTTTTGCAGGCTTCTCACTGGTTTCACATATTGCCCAATTTCAGATGTAAGTGGAGAAAAGATGGACATGTGTACTACTGCAAACAGGAAGAAGCAGCTATATGTAAACATATCTCAGACTTGTAAAATCTGCAATTCGATTTTCAACTATAAATATAAAAAGTGGACCCTTATATATACAACTTCATGCTCGGAAGGTTAGATTCATCACTGCAGAAAAACAAACAACAGAAAAGACATACATAGGATTAGTGGTCTAGAATAAAAATTCCAAATTAACATTTATTTTAAGAAAACTGGTAGAACCCTGAATGTTTTTTTTTTTTTAATTAATAAGCTGAGTGATGTGTGTCCCAAGTATTACTTTTCTAAAACTCCAGGGTGTTATTAAAATTTCCATCCTGGGTTCAACCCACATTTTTCTTTTGCCACTGAGAAGTTTATGGTCTGTTTCTCAGTAATGATTCTGGGAAAGCAGAAAATTAGGATTTTATCACATATGTACCATAATTAAGATACATGTCCTATACTTACATAATCTTCTCCAAACATTAAAAGCCACTGGGGAAGAGGCTGAGGACTCTGCCCTCGGTGGTACTGTTTACTTCACCCAACCTGACTATAATACTACTCTCCTTTGGCTCTGATTTCCTCTGGCCTTTTGCAAGCCCTGCTCCACGCGGATGGTGTGCACTATAAACCTGCCTGCTCTCAGGTCTTCGAGCTCTACTGGAGGTTCCACGGTGATCTAAGGTACCATAAATCTCTTGTTGCTCGTTTTGAACCTCCATAACTATTAAGGTTTTCCTAGAACTAAAGTTAAGTCTGAGAGAACTGAGGGACAATGATCTTTGAGATATAAACTTATATTGCAGATCTTGGGGACTTGACTTTTACAAAAAAAAAAAAAACAAACCCAACAAAACAAAACAAAACCCATTGAGAAAAGTAGAATGCCCAGTTCATTAATTAAAAACATTTGTTTTTCTCTCTCCAGGAAGAACAGATGCTATAGCAGGTGGGATTAAGAGGCCAGGTATTTGTGATCTTCGAAGATGGCGTTCACTCAATGTTTCTGCATGTCATGGCAACACCAGAGAATGTGACTATGGAAGTATTCTTTGCCCCAAACTCAAAATTTAAAGAGATGTATTTTTTTGAGTACAGTGTTTTGTAAAAAAATCTACAGAATTTTAAAGATTCTTTGTTTTCTTCTTCCAGATTTTAAAACTTAACTAAAAAAAAAATCTGTCACCTTGCTTTAGGAAGGTTTTGCTGCAAACCTGTCAGCCCTACCTCACAAAATAAAGTTAGTAAAACATTAAAAAATATGAAAAATAAATAAAGGAATCTGATGAATAAAAAATATGAAGCCTATAGGTCTTTTTCCTATTACATAGTTTTTAATCTCTGGATGAGGAAGGATAACTTTAATAGCCTGTAAGTACTTTTTTAAAGATTTTATTTATTTATTTGAGAGAGAGAGGGAGAGAGAGCGAGCACAAGAGTTGGGTGAAGGGCAGAGGGAGAATCAGACTCCCCACTGAGCAGGGAGCCCGACATGGGGCTCCGTCCCAGGACCCTGGGATCACGACCTGAGCTGAAGGCAGACGCTTAACTGACTGAGCCACCCAGGCACCCCCTGAAAGTACTTTCTTAATCATAAATTCTGCCATTTATTCACTGTACAAATTACACTGTGAACTGCTACATCATTATTCTTCAAAATTTAGAAAACAGAACTATATCTAGAAAGAAAAGCCATTTAAACAAACACCAAACAGTTTTGCATGAAAGTATTAGTATTAGAATATCATGACCAAGGATACTCTCAATTAATCACAGTAATTTACGTTGCTACCACATTCTGAATTTTCAAACATTTACCACTGTGCTCTAGAGGCTAATAACTTTAACAGTGTTTAAAAGGGTAGTCCATGTAAAACAGGACTAACTAAAATAATTGGCTAGCCTTCTTTAAAAAAATATCACTTAAAAAATAATTTGAGATAGCTAAGTTGACCACATAAGAGATTTTAGAACATTTTCTTTTTCTAATTGTTTCTTTCTTCTTCCTCCTCTTCTTTTTCTTCTTCCTCCTCTTCCCCGCCTTCTTCTTCTTTTTTTTTGGAGTGAGGAGGTGTTAGACAAGGTTGCGCACAATGATCTGCATTTGGGTGTGTTGGGGATGTGGTAAGCTGTACTGAAGTTTTCTTATTGAGTTCTTTGTATAAGAAGATGTTAGAGTGGCGCCTGGGTGGCTGAGTTGGTTAAGCATCCAACTCTTGATTTCGGCTCAGGTCATGATCTCAGGGTTGTGAGATCTAGCCCCATATCAGGCTCTGCACTGGGCATGGAGCCTGCCTGAGATTCTTTCTCTCCTGCTCTCCCTCTTTCCCACGTACTCCCTCTCTCTCTCTCTCTCTCTCAAAAAAAAAAAAAAAGTTGTTAAAGAAGTCCTTAATCCTAGGTAGAACATAGTGTCTATTCTGTGGAAAAATGAGTTCTTAAAAGGGAAATTTCTGATTTTCTAATGCTATTCATATTACTACCAGGTTTGGCCATTTCATGAACCAAAAAGATGAGTCCTTTGCTTGGTGCCATGATTACTAGGCCCTCACAAAAAGGAAGTGATTTAGAAGCAGCCAATAATTATGTAAACCCAAGTTCTGAGTTATGTCAGAAGGCTGGATAAAGTAAGCCTTTCAACATCTCCCTCTATGTGAAGTGTACCTAGGACTGTATTAAAAAATCATTACAGTATTAGATTACAGGTCAACGGTTAAAGAGTAAATGGTAATTCCAGCTCAGGATGGTATTCAAGATTCTGAAAACAGGGATTCTGAAGGTGAAAGGATACTTTCCTCAGGTGAAGAAGAATATGATGATAGGCCCACCTTCCTGAGAACCCCCTGAGCCCAGCTGTGATTGAGCTAATTCTTTGACAGGCTGAAAGTGAGTATGTGGAGCTGCTAAATATAAATGACACTCCTGACAGAGAAGGTTTTCTTTCCCTGGCCGGGGGTGGGGGTGGGGGGGTGGAGGTGAAGTGGGGGGTACAGCTAAGCGGGAGAGTGAGTTACACAGGATCTCCTCACCAACGGAGCTGAGGAGATGAGACACATTGAGGAGAGTCAAGTTTCTCTCCATCTCTCTGCAATCCTGGAGTTCTGTATAGTTTTGCCAATGAGGCATGCCTGTCAAAAGTTACTCAATAAGCCACAAGGCATTAGAGAAAAAAACTTCAAAATGGTCAAAGCAGCATGATACTTCCCCCTAGCTCATTTTTCCATCCGTGGAGTTCCTTTATCCGTCAGTAGCATATATGCACAGTTCTTTCTGATTAAGTTCTCAAAGTTAGTGTGTAAAGGGTTGGTATTCTTGGACTAGGACAGCACCTACAGGCCTCTTCCCTGCTTCAGGTCCTGCCATTGCTTTCCACCGCCCACTTCTCGTTCTGTTTGGGTCCTAGCTCTTGCCCTTGGAAGTGACTTAACTTCTCTGGACTTCGGTTTCTTCATCGGCATCATTCAGGACAATAATACCCTCTAGGGTTATCATGAGGATTAAGTAAAATGCTATCCCCTGTATGAAAGGGCTCCTCATACAGTCTTTGTCCAGAGAAGGTTTTCTGTGAAGTTCCCTTCCATACTGAACATATACACAGTGACCATGGGTAGCCATATGAAGAGGCTAGAATAAATGGATACCATAAAAAACACCAGCTTAAATATAAACAGATTCTCCTAAATAAATCATCACTGAAGAAAAAAAAATCATGCTTACACTTTCTGCTTTCTCAGCTTTGTGATTAATATTGACAGGGTTCTACCACGTATTTGCATGTTTGCCTACGTAACTGGGCATAAATAGAAAAAGAACCACAATTAAGAGTAGTTTTAAATAGTAGGAGGACAAGGAGTTTATTATGTAAGCAAACCATTGTCAAGATGCACTGCCCCTTTCCATTCCACAAAAAGGATTAGATAAGGAAGGTTTCCAAGTTAGAGTGTTTGTTAAGAACTATTTTCACTCATCAGTTTAGGAGGAAATCAGCAGTAAATATATTAATCAAAAGATATTCTAGAGACAGAATCTTTTGCTTTTTAATGCCCAAACAACTTTCAGGAATGTCAAATTCAAAAGGTCTATTCTAAATGGAAAAAATCAAGCCAGGGGAAGAGATAGGGGAAATGCTTCTTTTAGAAATAATTCCATAAAGCCTACCTTTTGCCAACAGCCAGGCATGGGTAATCCATCTGGCCCCTATTTTAAAAAGAAGAGTAAGAATTCTTCAGGCTCCACAAAAGTGAACATACTTCACAATTCACATGCTCACAAGCTTAAAAAATGGATTTCTACCCTTTAGGTGCCTGTAATCTTGGGTTTTTTTTTTTTTTTTCTAATTATCAAGTCCCAATAGAATACCCAACGTTAGTTAAAAGGAAGAAAATTCAAATGCTTTCTAGTGTGAGAACACATTTTGAAAATACATATAGAAAAAATTACGCCTAATTTTGAAAAAGTAGTTTACAAAGCATAGGGGCCTACCCAGTTCCACCTTTAGATAATAAGTCTGTACTATTCCTCTTAATTTCGTTAAAACACATTTCACAATTATCTTTATTAAATAAACAAAAACAACTTCTCTTCCTGGTCACTGTGGTCTATGGTTGAATGCATGATAATGATGAATAATCAATGATGAACCATTTCTATCTGAAGTTCATAGCCCTTCACATGCCAGTATCTTTTATTTTTCCATACTAAAAGCCAATATAGTAGAACGCATTTTATTAATTGAATTAAAAGACAGGCAGTCCATCTATATCTTTATAGTAAGATGTTATCCATAGCATTTATCAATTTTTTAATTAAAAAGTCTTTAGAAGTCGGTTAACCAATTCTGATTCAACAAAGGATTCTTAAAATATCGCACAATTTACTTTCATTTAAAGTGCAAGCACTCTTCAGATACAAATGATAGAAATAAGGCAGGAAGACTCGATATATTATGAGGCATGCTTGTGTTTTCCTCTAACAAAATGATTGTAAGGTATTATTTACTACTAATGACAAGCAAATAAGACTCATATTGAGATTTTTTAATTATAATTATTTACCAAATACATTTTTTCCTATAAATATAATCTCTTAAAAGCCTTAAGAAAGTCTTTAAAGAATCATGCTTAGCACTGAAGAATAATATAAGAACATGCAGACCAAGTATAACAATCAAGAAGTATAAAACCACTCTAAAGTTTTCTTTTATACCTCAGAAAATATGAATATACTTTCTTTTTAAATGTAAAAAAAAACCCCACTTTGAAATAGCTTTATATTTGGGAAAAACTTGGTAATGCCAGATTGGTACAAGGAGAGGGTCACCCAGTAGAATTTTAGATTTTAGTATAAGGAGGATTTTGAGTCATGCCAATGGGGATAGGGGAGTTCTGTCTACTTTGGGAAAGTGAGTTTCAAAAGGAGAGACCATTACACTGAAAAGGTTATGTGACAAAGAAGAGGGTTGGGCTGCAGACTATTACCATCTTTAGAAGCTCAGGGAAGTTTGGTTTCCTTCCCCATGGTCTCTTAACAGCATTCCCTTGAACTGGTTAACTCTTGACCACAGAAGCTTAACTCTGTCGGTCTGGCCTTATTTACGGCCTGACAGAAATGTAGTGGAAGAGGCAAAAATGTCTTTATTTCTTTCAGAGAAAAAGGAAAAAAAAAAAAGGAGCTAAATTTAGGGATAGAACCCAAAGTCATGGCCTAGTAGTCCCTTTACATATAAGATTTTTACATCATTTGAATGTATTCTTTCAATATTTTTGGAGTAGGTTAATATTCCCCAGAATGCAGACATGGCAGTCGGGTCAGTTGTGAGGACAATGTCAGGAGGTTAATTTGCAGTCTTTGACGGAAAGGCGAGCTTGCTCTCTTCACTCTGCAGAGATGCTGAAGGAGCTGTTCATGCACATGCATGTAGTGTGTTTATCATGTAAAGCTTGTTCCAGAAGTACCACTTTACATTGATAGAGATGAATATGTAATAAACAAAGGAATTGCATGCAGGGTGGTAGGAAAGAGAAATACTGTACCAATTGGCAAGGGGCATCCAGCCCATCCAGGCCAGGCTGGCCTGGCTCCCCTTTTTCCCCCTTAACGCCACGGAATCCCTGTTTGTAAAGATTAACTCATAATGTTACTAACACAAGAAATCACTTAAGCACAAATTCTGCTAAAGAAATAACTACAAAACCAAAAGGCTGGGAGAGGAGCAACTCTGAAGGACAAAGTAACATCCACTGAAGCTGGATGGAAAAAGAGCTCGACCTATCCCTGTAATCAAGGCTTCTCTGGGAACAGTGACTTTCTCTTTTGAATGGTGTGGAATAGCACAAATTCGTCTTCAGATGCTATAGTCACATTCCAGTTGCACGTCAATATCTGAGTGCTAAGAAACCAAACAGAGCTGGTGGCCAGAAACGAGGCATGGAATATACCGGGATAGCCCGAGATAGATGCGTGTGGTCCCTTGAAGCCTCTGTTAAACCCCCCCAATCAGAACCCCTGCTGTTACACGTCCCTCCAACTTGCTCTTCTCCCAGTTTATTCCTTCACACATGACATCTGGAGACAGAGTTCCATGAGTCAGACATACCAACGGGCAAGGTGCATCTAATCCAGGAGCACCCTGTTCTCCTTTCTCCCCTTTAGGCCCCTTTTTGCCTTTCTTTCCCTTTTCCCCCTGTGGATATAAGGGTTTAAATAAAAGACAGGTTTTATTTGGGGGGGGAAATAATGGCGATTCAAAATATGGTTTAGCCAATAAACGTCTGGAAGGGCATTTACCACTGTTTTCTGGTTTGGGTAAGGCACGATACTGTAAAAGATAACCTAGACTTTCAGAGTGACAATGGATTCTGGGCAGGGTAGGTGCGGTTTTACTTAAGACACTCAACAAGATGAAAGAAGGAGATTTGAAAAGCCAACACATCAAGTGCCGACTTAGACCCCAGCGCCCTAGTCTTGGTGAATGAGGTGTTTCCGCCGCAGATCCGGCGAGGATGACGGATACCAACTGTATGGGAGCCAGCCGGTGGCAGGTCAGATTCAGAGGAATGATGAATACTTCACCCAATTCTCAATACTGTCAGCTGACTTTTTTTTTTTTTTTTTTTCTAATTCTATAACAGATGAAAGCTACACTGAGCCAGACAAAAAGACAGAATATTAACAGCTTCTCTCTTTTGGAAATGTATCCAATTTTATGACATTATTTTTTGTAGCTCTCATTAAAAAAAATATTCAGTATATTGAAATATGCTTCTCTTTCTTTTAACTTTTTTTTAGGAAACTAAAAGCAAATACTTTCTTTATTAAGTCAGGTAAACAAATTTTAAAAGTGCTAATACTTCTCAGCAATGCCAGTTGGAGAAACGGACTTATTTATAAATCGAGGGATTTTCTTTAATTCACTCTTACAGATATCATGCCAGGTGTTCACAATGGTAAATGGGTTTCCAGCTTACTCACAATGTAACAAAAGCCAAAAAAAAAAAAAAAAATTCTGTTCAAGAGAGGAAAAGCAGTTTGGACTCAGTTGAGCTAATACTAAAAATGAGGTAGGCAGGATAATTACATAGTGGGAATGTAGCCATGGAAATTAGTATTTAGGAATCAAGGTAAAGGTTGTGGAAATCTGCATGGATCATGGGAATGGAGGAATTAAGGAAAGGAGGCAAAAGGAGGAGAAGGAAGGAATGCATCTCAGCTGTTTCTTATTAACATAAATATCTCTGCATATTTATAGACAAGAAGTTGGTGCTGTACAGAATACAAAATACTGTGCAATACATATTTAAATTAGTGTATTCATTCCGCACTCAGGAAGGCAGTTACAATAAAAGTGAATAATTTCAGAAGCGAAACAACATGAATATTCAAAGACATATACATAAGATATATATGAGATAAGCATTCAAATTAGTGCATTCATTCTGACTGTGTGAGTGAAAGCTCCTCATTTGTCTCCTGTGTGCCAAAAAGATTGCATCAGAAGGCTCAGAATCAAAAACACTTGGGTTTCTTGAATACTGGGGAAAGAGAGAAATTCTGTGTTGTTTAGTTTATCATGATCAAAGACGAAGACCTGAGAATCCAGGGTGAAATGAGAGCAGGTGTGACAGGAAGTAAGCTGGGAGGATCGTTCAGGACTAAGTTGCTCACTCATGCAAGATCAGTCAACATCCTCAGCAAATAACTTCAATGTCACGACGTAAAATTGTTTTAAACTTGGTTGGGTGAGCTTTTCCCTCCCAGGAGGCAGGGGACTCTTCTTCACATAGTGAGACAGGTGTGTTGGGTATTGATAATTTAGAATTCAATTCATTATTTGGTAAACCAACTGAAATTAATCACTCCCCAGAAAAGTGTTGTCATATGAATGTTGACTCTAACAGGCTACAGGAATCATTTTTCAGTAATATGTTAGCGGACCTCAAGCTTTATGGAAAACCGACACTATTATACAAAGAACAATGAATCAGCATTATTATGAACCAACATAATTTTGTAAGTTAGTGATTCCCTATGCAACACAAAACTATCTGCCCTGAGCATATGAGGGCTATTGCTAATTTTTATTTCCCATGTCGAAGAATGATATGCATAAAGTGTTCCCATTTGAATCCAATTTTCCTAAATATAAAATTTCTAATCATGGAATCTGAAATATGGGAATATTTTTGTATGAGTTATTAACATTATTCTGAGGATTAAATTTATAGCTTTGTGTTTTCATAAGTTACAATACGGGTAATTTCTTCTTTGTTTGAAAGATCATTAAAATGAGTATCCCCATAATGGTGACATACTTCTGAGTGAATAAGATTTTAGACTCATACAACCCATTAAATAAACATAAAATAAATGTCTCTACTCTTTAAAGCACCTCGACCTTGGGCTAAAAGCTTGCATGCACAATTTATCTCAAATCAAAACATGCATATTTTATAGTTAGCATTTATAATTCAGAGTAAAGGAATCTTTTTTTTTTTTTTATGTTTCAGTTTCTTTGTCTGTGAAATGGAGACAATAACAGCACCAATCTCAGGGCGGGGGTTGTTATGAGGATTAAGAGACTTAGCGTATGTAAAGCTTTTGGGGAAACATATAATAAGTGTTCAATAAATGTGATGATATTGATAATGATGATGATCTTGCTTTTACATAACTATGACAGGAGCTCTCTTACCAGTGGGAAGCCAGGTAATGTCTAAAGCCTAAGGAACACACAGCAGGCCTAATACCCTTCTTTCTTTGACAATTCTAATTTGGCCTTGCTTTTCAACAGCAATCAACTTCATGGTTAGAGAGAATTTATAGGGTTTTGAAAACTGTTAAGTACAGTTTTCAGAAAGACATAAATTAATCTGAGAAACAGAACTGGTTTAAATTGGAAGTGGGAAGGTACAATTTCAGCCACTTTTACTTCTTTTGCTGTGTCCAGTGTAAACAATTACTATTCAAGGACCCAAGCAAAGGGGAGAGGAAAGGAAGAAATGATTTCAAAAATCCATTATCCAAATTTTGCTTTCAGACATAAAACCAATTTGCCTGATATTGGCTGCTATATACGCTGGGGCCGTTGGTCCCGAGATAGAACCTGAACACCAGCCTCATAAAATACACTAATATCTTCATTTAAAAATATCTCCAGCATCTGAAAGTGGCAAGTCCTACTCTCTGATAAACTCACTGGGGTTTATCAGTCACACTGCTTGCCCTCCATTTTCCAATAAAAAAATCAGGATACCGGACACGTCTACTAACTCTGTACTGGAATGCTGTGCATAAAAATGAGATGCTGGCTTTACAGGGTTAGGTGAGCTCTGCCAGAAGACTCTTGCAGATTTGTGCTATTTAAGTTTACTTTGATGTAATAAATGCCTTTTTATTTCACCTTCAAGAATCCCTGGACATTACATCTTTCAATAAATTGGTGTCAGGTAAGCCTGCCAATTTTTTTCTTCTATGCTAGACTGTGCCCTTATTTCTAGCACTGTAGCCTTCTTCATTCCTCTGTGAAGACCTGGTTTTTTTAGATCAGGCATTGGTGTGTTTTTGGAGCACAGGATGGAGAAAAATTAGATATATGAAAGAATCGCATAGATTGAACAGCAAAGCACACGGCGTGAGAAAAATCAAACAGGCACATGCTAGAATGGAGAGGTCACCTTTTCTCCCTTTTCTCCTACATCACCCTTCTCGCCTCGTGGACCAGGGAAGCCCTAGAGGATAAAAAGCAAACCAAAAAGATCTACTGATGTAACTGTGGCAAAATCACATTAAAAAAATGTAAGATTCCATGCTCCTGAACACAAATATGAAGAAAAATAGTACCATCAAGAATCTCAAAACCTAGATAGTTAAAGTACCACTTAGGAGTAATAGTTGTCTAACATCTCAATTATCTATATGAAACACATTTCTTGCTTTTTCTCCTAAGATTTATATAGTGGAAAGTATATCAGGATCCTAGTTTGAATCCTAGCAAGGACACTGATTTGTGTGGCCTTGGGCAAATCACTTACCTCACAGCATTTTATGCTTGCCCAAAACAGGTGCTCAATAAAAAGTTAACTATTATTACTTTTGCTTTTATTATTCTTCACATAATAAGGCTGCTATGATATTCACATAATACAGTGATCATTTCAAGAGGCATTTACTTTTGACATTCTCTATTTTTTATAGAATTATGTTATTATAAAACATACAGACACTTTATGCTAAGAGGAAGAAATATTGCATAGCAGCTTTGAGAATAAACATAGTATACCATTCCCGAAGGGTGGCACGTGAAAGATATTTCAATTTTATGCATATTTTTAAATAAGTGGTTCAATTGCTGATGTTCAGGGTGTCCCTAATTTGGGAAAGTATTTTGAAATGCCATTATCAACTGTTGGTTATTAACTTTATACTAGTTATGTGTTTTGCTTTTCTGTTTATCTCATGCAGACACTAGGGGTGCATTTTATATTGTGATCTACACACACAGCAATATATGCTATATGCATAACTATGTGCACAGAAAAAAAAGTATTTTTGCTATTATTGATGATGGAGACCATCAGCATCTATTATAATAGGAAGATGTTCATTGTACATGTATTACTTACATCAAGACCAGGCTCTCCATCTTTCCCCTGCCAAAGAACCATAGTAGCTACATTAGTGTTCCTAAGTTTCATGAATAGGTTATTGTTATTGTTTTAAGGCTGCCTGCACATGCAACACTAGTATTAGAACAACTACTTCAGAAATGTGAAAAAGAGTCTTTATTGATTGATTAGTAATACAAATTTCTTTCACCAAATCAAGTGAAGTGACCATTAATGCTGCAGTTAAGGGTCATAAAAATTTTTTTATTATAGTTAGTTTACATAGCCTGATATTTCGCTGAAGTTTAATGCTTGGCATCCAACTGATCAATCCAGGAATAAGTTGAAAGCACAAATATCAGTTAGTTGATTTAAAAACATACCAGCACTAATAAAATATGCAAATCAATACTGCTTCAACTTGGTAACTTAGTACTTGGCTCATAAATGAGAAAAGAATGTGAAAACTGTTTATTGTTAAGTATAGTTTTAACTTGGCTAGATGTGTACCTTGTCTATAAATATTGAGGGTGTGTCACAATTTAAAAACTGTTTTTAAGTAAGCTTTGTCAATAAATAATTCCCAGATACAAAGGAGTCACCAGACTGTTGTGCAAGGATTGATAAATTTACCCCTGTGGTGCAGATTATCAGGGCCATGAGCCTATTGTGTCACACAATGGATCCATCCAAAGTTACTGGGAAGTTGCTTTAATTCTGACAATTAGATTTTGAAATCTATTTCAAAATCAGCATCTCTTTCAGCCAGCACTAATCCTGGCTTAAGTTTATTACTCTGGTTCACAAAAACTGTAAAGAATAAAGCATGTGGTAGGCACACAGGGGTTAAAAACCTTAATATACTATATGTGTCTATTGTAGCCCTACCCGGCCCTATCGAATCATTTATAATTACCCCAAAGGGAATGTTCTGAAGCATGCCCGCAGCCTCAATTTGAAAGACTGTGTAACAGAATTTTCAGAAGGCAGGCCACTATCAACATTCTACGTTCTAAAGAGGTCTTGTCATTACAGTGCGTTAGGTCAGAAACATCAAAGTCATTGTAAAAATCAATGTGAGAAATCACCTTTATTAGCAAGATTAGTTTTAGTAGGTAACCTATGAGAACAGATAAAGTCTGAAGAAAGTTGTCTTAAATAAAACTTCCCCACCCACTTTTGGTAGCGACCTTCTGAGGAAGTGCCAATTATGGGCGTCTAGTCAGATGGTACAGAGAGGGTGTTTCCTGACAGTGGGAGTCCTGCTTTCAGGTTAGGTCTGTTTATCTTGTGGACAATCTCTGATCCTCTCAAGCTCATGGTGTGTGTGTGTGTGTGTGTGTGTGTGTCTGTATGTGAGTGGGAGAATAGATGTGACTGTGACCCATCAAGGACATGGTAACACTGGTGTTGTGGAGAACTAGTGGATGGCTCTTTGCTCCTCTAATGTGATTAGTCTGCCCCACCAGGGAAGGGTTAACCGTGCCAGTGTCAGGTCATCTACGCATGCTGAAGTTGGAGACAAGAGACAGAACTCACAGGCAGACCATAGGGTCCTCTGGGTCCGGGTTCTCCCATAGCTCCTTTTTCACCCTAAAATGAAAGCCATAAAATTCAAATCATATACAAATGCCTATATTGACACACTTTCCCTAATGGCCTGTGTATAAAGCCTCCACGTGAGGTACCATGCTATCAAGATTCCAAGGATGCAGGCTCTTCTGGGGTCTCTGTCAGTGATCAGGTAAAAGAAACCCACATTTAGGGGTGCCTGGGTGGCTCAGTTAGTTAAGCGTCTGCCTTCGGCTCAGGTCATGATCCCAGGGTCCTGGGATCGAGTCCCACACGTCAGGCTCCCTGCTCAGCTGGGAGCCTGCTTCTCCCTCTCTCTCTGCAGCTCCCCCTGCTTGTGTTCTCTCTCTCTGTCAAATAAATAAATAAACTCTTTAAAAAAAAAGGGGGGGGAAAGAAACCCACATTTGCATATTCTATCAAATTACCTCTGAAAGAAGGGCAGTAAGAGTGCTGCAGCCCAGTTGTGCAAAGGACTTGCATATTCTGGAGTGCTGTACTTGGGTTTCTTTGGCATTCGTGTGAAACAGTTATTTGTTACTATTTTAAGTTACTACATTTTTAAAATATAAGAATAAAATGTCTTTTTTTCCTATCAAATGTCTCTTCTTTGGCAGCCTCTTCCTTGGCCGCCCTGGCCCTTTACCGAGGTATATTTTACTTTATAGCTTCCCACACCAGCAGACACAGGCGAGTTTTATTCTCTGTTGAGCTTCTCACTAGAATATGCACACTGGGGGCCAGGGCCTCTGGCTTGGCTCCCTCCTGCATCCTCACGGATCACAGTAGTGTCTGGTGCATCAGTAAATATTTGTTGAATTAATCAAGTCAAATCAGTACAATCCTGTACATGTTTTGTTTCCTTTCTGAAAAAGAGAGTTTAAAAACTTTTATGCCTTCTTCTAAATGCCTGAGAAGGTAGGCATATATGACCTTCATCACTTGCTCTCTACGTGCCTATTTAAATAGAGTCTTTTGCTTCAGCTATAACAATATATGTGATAATGATAATCTTGAGGGCTTACAAAGAATAATGTGAGATTGGAGGTCATACCATGAATACAAAATAATTATAATAAAGAGATCTTCTGCATTTCAAGTAATGTTTTCTTCTGCTGCCATCTCCAAAATTAAAGTGTTTGTCAGGATTTGGCATGCAAACTTCAGGAGTAATGGTGATATATATATATATATTTTTTTTAGACAGAGAGAGAGAGAGAACACAGGCAGGGGGGAGTAGGAGAGGGAGAAGCAGGCTTCCCACGGAGTAGGGTGCCCGATGCGGGGCTCGATTCCAGGACCCTGGGATCGTGACCTGAGCCGAAGGCAGACGCTTAACTGACTGAGCCTCCCAGGCGCCCCAGTAATGGTGATATTTATATGAGTGGCCAAAAAGAAAATGTTACCTTCTTCTACCACACCCTTAAAGTTTAAAGGTTAGCAAATCTTTTTCATGGTTAAAATGCAAACTTCCTCTAGTAGCTGCATGTGCAGATGCAAGTATTATGCTGTGTGTTTCTGTACTCCCGATTCCCGTATGAGCAAATTTCAAGTCACTATTCACATTCTTCTCTCTAAACTTAGGGGCTGGTGGGACTAATGAGAACTGTCACCTAGAGGCACATACCGTGTAGGGACAGTACTGAAAATAAATATGATAAAAGCCTGTTGAACTTCTACTCATCATTACTTTATGTTTATTACCGAGAGATCAGCAATTCCATTCAGGAAGGTGGCCAGGCTTTGAAATGAAACAGATTTAAATTTGAATTCCACTTTGGCACTTACTGACTCTGTGGTCTTAGGTAACTTTCTTAACCTTTCTATGCCTGAGTTTCATTGGCTGTTAAATAAGAATAATAATACATATTCTGCAAGAATTTTTCTGAAGATTAAATGTGACTGTAAAATATGAAATATGTCACCAAATAATATGTCCCATAAATAGTAGCTATTGTCATTAATATACAATTAGAGGTCTTGTTTTTAACAAAAAGGGTTTGGCAACCCATTCAAATTAAATTTCTTTCAGTTTGATCTGGCTGTGTGATTTATGATGTTTTAAAGATTTTATTTGTTTATTTATTTATTTTAGAGAGAGAGAGAGTGCACAGAAGGAGAGGAAGAGGGAAAGAATCTCAAGCAGAATCCATGCTGAGCACAGAGCCCGACGCGGGGCTCGATCTCACGACCCTGAGATTGTGACCTGAGCTGAAACCAAGAGTCAGACGCTCATCCAACTGAGCCACCCAGGTGCCTCTATTTATGATTTCTTAAATGGTGGTGGTGGTGGTGTATATGTGTTCGTGTGCAGGGGAGTGGGCGGTGTAGTAGGACGTGGGGGGTTTAAAAGGAAAGCTCACATAACCTGAAGTAGGTCTAGTTTGAAAAATCTCCACAGATTTTTTTGATATACCTCTTCCCTTTTTCCTCCTCTGACGGAGTACTTTCAGGTTTATTGTGTTTTTAAAATGAATACACCATGGCTTGTTTGAATTAAGTTGTCAGTAAAACATTTGTCTGTGGAACTGCTCTTATAGAATTGCTCACCCCAAATAATTACTTTTAGGTAATGCCAATTCCATTTCACTTGCCACTGACAGCTTCAGAAGTGGACACATGCCCCGATTCTGGCCAATGGGGTGCTGGGGGAAGTCTGAGGGGAGGCGATGGGGAAGGTTTGCTCGTGCTGCTAAGGAAGAGACACGGGAGAAGATGACGTGTGTTGGTTCTCTGTGGATGCCTCACTGGAGGGGAGGTTTGTAGGGACTGTGACCAGCTTGCGTGATCAGAAGACCAAGCCAGCATGTGGAAAGGGAAGAGAAGCAGAGCCGAGAGTCCCTCCTTTGAATATTTTGTTATATAAAACAACGAATTTCTCTATTGTCCTAGCCATTTTGAGTTGGGATTCTGTCACTTAGAGTCAAAAGCATCCTTGAAAACTTTTAATTTGACTATGAAATATGAAACGAAATAGGGATTTGAATTCTCCTGGATTAAATAATTCTTGAAAAACTTCTGAACCTCTCAAATTTAACACGCTTCACAGAGTTCCGAAGCAGTTAAGGCCAGATGGAGAAATCAGCTCAAGGCAGGGAGACCGTCAGGTCCTTGAAGGGCTCATGCTGTCACTCATGTATTTGACATTACTGAATGACACTGTAGAATGCCTGGTTTCTTTTAGGCCCATCTCATTTCTTTCAGGCTCCTTAATTTGCATGTCTACACTGAGGAATTCTTCTCCAATGGATTCCTGATTCCTCCCTCTTTAAAACTGGAAACTTTTCCAGGAGAGTCCAGATGGCACCTCAGTCAATTAACTTGGAGAATCACACTCCAGTTTAGCACTTTGGGTGAGGGGCACTTGGAGAGTACTGATACATGATCCGGTTAAGATAGTTAACGTGCTGAGTAAATACAAGTGTAACACTTTACACTGCACACCATTTGACTTGAACTATGTCTTCAAAACTTCTTAGCGACTTCATTTGCTCTCCTGGTTAATTCTGCCCCAGCGCCGAGACCTGATACTCTTGTGACACTGCGGAGCTCGGAAATAGCAGCTGATTTACCAAACGGTAAACCCTCTTGAGCCCCAAAGGCATCCTGCCAAAAGACTACTTGAGATTTGCTGCTCCATTTTTAGTACATGGGCTGGATTTCTTGACACTGCTTGAATGTGTCAGCAGCATGAGGCTCTTCGCTTTTAAATATTTTTAATTAAGATGATCTTCATAAGTCGGTTTGATTTTAGAAATCAATTGCAGATTCAGATAATTTATTCCTTTAGGACTCACCTCTTTCTAGAAGCATTCTTGGATAAAGCCAGACTTCCTCATCATTGTATGTACAGTCTCTGCTATTTGTATTCACTTTGGTCTCATTATCTGGCTATTTCTTGCCGATATTATTTTCCCTCTGCAATTAGATTGTAAACTCTGCTAGGTCAGAGAAAATAGCTGCTTCCTTTACAGTACTGAGTAAATATATATAGTGTAGTAGTAAAAGGTTATGGGATGACGAATGCCAATTATGATGGCCTTATTCAATTCACTGCAGCAAATTAGCAAAGTAGACTACGCAAATGGGAGAAGAGTGCTTCCATTCCACACTAGGAGTACACTGTCGTTTTATAGATCATAAAATGTAATAAATATTTACTGAATGAAGGAACTCATTTTATAGAACACAGAATTATGGAATTGGGATGGATGCCAAAGAAATCACTCTGTGGCCCTCTATTTTTAAAGCAAATTACCCCAGACTGAAGAAACTCTATCTAGTTTTCAAAAGACTGCAGCTCGCACAATGAATCATCCCAACATTTAGAAGCCCTTACTCGTAGGACACTTTCTTTCCGGCCTCTCCTGGATGGTGGGGAAATTGATGACACAATTCTGCTGAGACACAGAAAAAGCTTCCAAGTTTCCCAAAGTGAAGAAAAGAAAAAGTGGGAGAAAAACAGAGAAAGAGGGGAGAAAAGTTCCAGACAGATGACCAGCTGCTGAGGCTGCAATACACTTTTTGGTGTCAGATATTTATCTTCTGCTCTGAAGGTCTTTTTTGTTTTTGTTTTTGTTTTTGTTTTTTTGTTTTTTTTTTCTTCTCCCAAGGATATGGAAACAGGGCCTAGCAACAGGGAGGTTAGTGAAAGGTTTTTGTTCTATAGTGCGCTGAAATTATTTCCTTATGGCTAAAGAAAGGCAGCCTATTCTTTTGCTAAAAAAATAAATAAATAAAGGAGCATGTGTAACTGTGTGGGGAAGAATACTTAGGTTTGGTAATTTACTTTAAAAAAAAGTTATAACTTACTCTGAATGAATACAGTAGCTTTATATAAAAGATTGTCAACCAAATATGTAGTCCTGGATATTTTAGCCCCATGGACTTCAACTTTCTGGATTAAGGCCAAATGAGAATATCTTCCTTATGGGTTAAGAAGGAATGGTCTGAGCCATTTATTTTAGCTATATAGATGTATGCATGATTTTTGCTTAAGGCAGCCACATTCTACTTTAATCAGTGTGAGAACTCTGATTAGGACTTAAGATGGCATATTTTCATTTAATATTTTAGATGGTCCTTTTTTCTTCTGGGGAATGAACAGTTCAACTAAAACAGAAAAGCCACACTGTGTTTTCTTTAGGTCACAGCTCAATAACCTCAGGAGCAACTTACTCTTTCTCCTTTGGGACCTGCGGGGCCATGGGGTCCCATAGGGCCATCTGTACCCTAAAAAAAAAAGAGATAAAAATAAGATAATATGAGACATATCCCAAAGGCCATAAGAAAAGCAGTTATAACTCATCCTGGACTTTTCCTGGGTGAATGACGCCTTGAACGCAAGTAAGACGACTCATCTGCTTTCAAAGAGCTCCATACTTGATTCTTTCAGGCCAGTGGTTTCCAAGAAACTCATGCAGAAAGGATGAGTTATGTAACTGCGTATTTCAACGAAGGGCACACACGAGAAGATCGAAGTCGGATTTAATTATCTACCTCCTCCCTGACTTCACGGAACATCTTCAGGAGAGAAACGGAGTCATTTTCCCCTCATGCCACTTCCCCGAGTCCATTCTCCACCCACTGTCACCCCCATGCTCCTGGGCCACGAATCTTTGTTTTCAGCGGGTTAAGAGGCTTGAATGGTTACACAAGTGGAAAAAAAATATGAAATAACCGAGAACAGTATTGAACTGTCCAAACCAAACTTCCTTCGGCTCTGCAGGGAGCAGCGGGGGGCTTAGAGGAAAGGAGTGATTCTCAGAGGCTCTGCTGCTGCTTACAAGACACAAACCGGGCAGTCGGCTGATTTAATGGTGTAATTGCCCCCTGGCCTCCTGGTTCAGGATTAGGATTTCTGTCTCAGACTGAATGGACATGGGAACACTAGGCCCAGTGAAAACAATGACTGCCTGAAGCAGGTTTTTAGAATTGAAGAGCTTGGAATTTCTTTTTGATTCTTAGACATGTAGCAAGGACTTCAAGTAATTTGCTCATTTTCAGGAAGACTGCACTTAATTTGCAAAGAATTTGTTCTAATATTTGCAAACATAGGAACTCTTCCAGCACAGGTTTTTTAACATAGTATTCCTATTTATGTTCTAGTCTTCTTTTTTTCTTCTATCAGAGATTTGCGGTATGAAATCATTTAGGGCTTCAACTCATTCTGATGTTGGTGAATTCTCATCCTCTTATCTGATCTTTTTCTTACTGCCTGAACTCCCAAGTTCATCTTCAGAAGACTTCTAAATACTGATTATCTGTGGCTGATATTTAAGAGATGGGGCTGTTGAGAACCAAAGAAAAGGGACAAAATGACAGAAGACAGACAGGTCTTTTGATGAATAGAGATCTGAAAGTTAGTGTCAAGGAAGAACTTACCTTTTTAATATGGACAGAAACATAAAAGGAAGAGCAAAGTCAAATAAATTCACATTATTTTGATCCCTTCAGAGGAGCCTGCTCATGGAACTATAGGAAATGTCCATTAGTTCCGGAAAAATTTGTCTGGGCTTCTAAGATAGTGAGGCTAATCAGACTGGTCATTCTTGCCACCTAGCAAGTTCTCCAACCTGGGACTCGGGCTTCCGAAGGATGTCCTGCAGTTTAGGCTGTGTGTGAGTCAATCAGAGCTGCAGCCTCTGTTCTGCCCACCTTTCCCTTGTGTACCACATCTTTGTACACCTTCTCCTTTCACTCCAGTCTTATGTCCCCCTCATCACGTGATGGGAGTACGTGGGGCAAAAGAGTCTGTCCCTAAGCACAAATTCATAGCCACAAAACATGTTGGAGCAAGATGAGGTACTGACTCACCCGGGATCCTGGCTTTCCGTCTAAGCCAGATGCTCCCTGTGTATTTGGTTGGTAGCAGGGTTGGTGGGTATGACACGAAGGACAAGAACAGAGATTAGTATGAGGTACTGATGAACAAATGTAACGCTTCAAACAACATCATACACAGTCACGGGGTTCTGGGATGAATATCACATCGCTACAAATTGTTAGTTTAAAAAAAAGAAACAAAACACGTGACAATAAACACCCCACAGATGATGGTATTTTAATGACATTTCCATTCGACAAATTCTTGTTTAGAAATCAAGATAATGAGGTTTATAAAGCGGGCTTTAAAGTAGTTACTGGTAACATTCACAGACTGCTAATTTCCATATGATACACATTTTCTAAAGAGTGTACTGTTGACAATAAACTTCTTTAGGTTTTGAAAAAACATAATGGCCGATATTTTAAGAAAGGGCTCTTTATAATAATCAATCAAAGTTAGCATTTCAGAGGAGAAGAAAAAGGCTCTAGTTTTTCTTGTTAAAACAGCACTTATGAATAACAACTGCAGAATTTCACCATGCCAAAATGACTGTGGATTTTACATGAACAATTCTCATTGTTTTCTGGGTTTTCTTACTGTTTTCACATTAGTTACCACTAGAGGGACTTCTAGGAACAGGAAAAAGCAGGAAAAAAATTTCATGAGTCCCCACAATAAATAACTGTCCCAAACAAAATTGTTCCTCAATTCACTTCAAACAATCATTGCATCAAAGTCTGAAGGGGAGATGCTTTAAAAATATAATGTTATTCTCAGGCAATGCATGCTTTTTTTTTTTTTTTTACCTTGAACTCCAAGCTATGCATAGTGTATGATTAAAGTATGACATTTTCAGTGCTTGTTTCAAGAATAAGCACAATTACTTCTTTGAATATGTCTTTTGTATCTCAAAACTCAAATACTGATTTATAGTCCTTTAAAAATATTGATTAAATCAAGGAGTATTTAAGAAAGACGATACACTAGCCCTATAAATTCTCCTGGCAAGGTTGAAGAACTATGTTCCCATTTTATGCTTCAGATACAGTTAATAATAAAAAATGGAAGAAAAAATCTGTTCCAGCTGCAAACTCTACCAATAATGCTATACTATATATACTTGGATGTTTTTAGTTTTTTATCTTACAATTTCTTCTGTATAGTTCTATTATGAGTCAGACTGTAATTGCAAAATGCATCTTTAGTTAGCAATGATTAAAATTTTTAAAAATCTGTGTGGTGCTTAATGCTAACATATGTAGAGCTTTTGGCTAAATATTGCATAGAAATTATCACTAGCTCTAAATACGAAATTAGGGCAAACTTTAATGAAATCAGATTGAGGGTTTAATAAAACAGAAACCCAAACTTCCTTTTGCTTTTTGATACTTTGTTCAGAGTCACCATTGTTACAACATTTAAAAACAAATAGGGAGATGGTAAAATTTTGTACTGATAGTATAACATTATATTTGTTTGGAATGTGAATTAATGACTCACATATATTATAGAGGTATTGTGCCTCTAGTCCATGGTCTAATTGGTGTGATTTAACCTATACTCTAATACAAGGTTTATATCATTCATTCATAAAGGAGTACATATTGAGCATCTACTACCTGCCTGATCTATGTAAGGCACTGGCTATCGAGTAGAATGCTTTAGAACTTAAAGTACCAACATTTTTTAATATGTTAAAATATGTGTATAAACTATTTTCTACCAATTTTATCTTATTTTAATAATGTAATTTATAATGTTCTTTACTGACTTTTATCTGCATTCACTGAATAGTCAGCATGTTAAAACCTTGAAACTAAAACCTCATATTTAACAATCATTTTAAAAAATCTCTTTTTAGTTATAGAAAGAAGACTGGCATAAAGTGCATAAAGACGAAAATTCCCTCTTCACTAAAAATAAAAATCTCAAAAAATAAAAAATAAAAAATCTCAAAACTACTGCAAAATACTTCTTCCATCCTGTCCACTGTTGCCAAAAGAACCAGGTAAGAGGGCACTTTCCAAACAAACAACACAAGACGTTTAGACCATGATATGATTGATTAATGTAAGGAGCCACAGCACTGACCTCACGCCATCAGCAATGGTCAATTGCATACCTGCCACCCAACAGAGGGCTACAATTTTTGGTATCAAAAGAGAAGAAAAACTGAGGGAGGATTCTGAACTGCACTAAATTATTAAAACATTTGGGAGAAATTATGACATAATCAGCACAATGCTTTTTTTTAAGGGCAGGGTGATGGGAGAAGAATCACCCGTCTTTAAAGAGGAAGGTTGGCATGTATGTAATTGAATGACAGAACACATACCATCGTTGGACATGGGGTCTTCCTCTGACACAAGAGCAGGCATCAAACAAAACTGGGCTGAGCTCTGCTCTAATAGAATATGTTTTCCAGTCACAGGAATCTCAAATGTAAGATAGTCACTGAGTAAACCAGAGTTGTTACTTAGGGTAGAAAGAAAAGTCTGAGATTTGCACTGAAATGGAAAGTTTTCTTTACTTACTGGAAGACCAAGGGGTCCTCTGTCACCCTTTTGACCTGGTTCACCCTTCAATCCTTTAACACCATTTAACCCTGGTTCACCCTAAATGCAAAAGCAAATGCCAATTTTGGTTGCTATCATGGGTGTTTCAACCTTGAAAGAAGAGAGCCAGTCTCTGAAATGGTTGCAGATTCCAGTTCTAGGTAACAGCAGAGTCAGGCTAGACTTGTCTTGCATCCATTCAAAATTCATTTCAGACATTTAAAAAAATTAATAAACTGAAATTGACAAATAATATTCTAGGAAGCAAAACTCCTGAGCAAGTGTACTCTTTACAACTGAAATGCATATGACTGAGTTCCACAGTTTTCAGTTCTGTATCAGAGAAACTGGTGTTATGCTACCTTGTTCTCACCAAGCAAATCAAAGACAGAGTGGAGGATGCTGCAGGAGGTTCAGTAGGAAAAACCCACTCTGCTGGAATGAAAAACTGGAATATGCAGGACACTGTTATATACAGATATTTTAAGCCTTTAAGCATTTTGCCCTGGGGAATGAGCTAAAAATGTAGCAGCTGATGTTTGAAGTAGTGCCATTTAGTGAGTCCTCATTCGCTGACATTGCCAAGTCAGATCCCTACATGGATTAATCCACAGAATAGACAACAAATAGCTGACCCCAGAAGAGAATATGAAGACCACAGTGCTTAAATGTAATTTTACTAACTGTATTTCTATCCAATGTTAAAATAAAGAAGGATGGAATTTAACCTCAGGTGACATTACAAAATCAAGGTAAGTGAGAAATTCTCTTGACTCTGATATTTAAAAACCTAAGAATACAGTACAACTATTTTCTATCAGAAGCAACATGTTAGGAATAAGAGTTCTGACCTGTCCACTTTTCAACTTTTAAGTAAAGGCATTAATTTCATCACAAAAGTCTGGAAAGATTTGTGAAAGGAAGATGCAGTCTCAAATGCCCTATAGAGTCTCGCTGGGTAGGAGTGGGAGCGGGAAGAGAGTGTGCTTCCGTGGCAGGAGGAATTACTAACCTCAGCAGTATTTTCCCCATTTATCTGACTGATGAAAGTCAGTGTGATGTTTGTTAAACATAGTCCAGGGCCCCACTTAGTGTTGAACTTCCAAAGGGGTCACAAAGTAATGAACACATTGGCACGACCTAGTGGTTTCTGGGGATTCTGAAGGTAGGATGTTTGCTGTGCTACCACTATAGGAAGTCCAAATGTGCTGTGGTGGGTAAAGTGTGATCCTGGGAATGTCCTAGAGCTTGAGTCAATGTGAGGTTAAGGCCAAGGCTCAAGAGTCAGCTTTAGTTAACTGGTCTCAACTTGAGACTGATGGCTTTGCCTGTGTGTGGACTTTCCGCTAGAGGTCTTGCCGTGCTGAATAGGCAGGGCTGCCTTGGTAGGTCATGAAATTCTGTGGTGAGGAATCATACATTGATACAAGTGGGCATTAACTGAGAAGGTGAATTTATAAACAATCAAATGTAGTGGCAGAAAGACCAAATTCTAACTCTGGACCTAAGTTCCAGTCCCAGATCAGTCATTTAATTAGCAGTGTAACTCAGGGCAAATAATCTAAACTTCATGGGCCTATAGTTTATCATCTGTAAAATCAAGGAACGAGCACAGGTAATCTATAAGGTCTTTTCAACTTTATAATTTTCTGAAATCTGATTTAAGTGGTACTTTGAAATCCAAGGAGAAGCCTAGAGTAGGAACTACTGATTTAGTCCAGAGTAGGAAAAAGAGACCCAGAGAGGTTTAGATAACTACCAAGACCACAAAGCTGATAGACGGGCTCTCTCTTCTGACCCCCAGAAAACAATGCCCTTACCCCAAACTATAATCCATACTTCTGAGACTTTGTCACTCACTGCCCTTACCAGAAGATAGGGTGTTCTATGTAGAGGCATGAACTCTTCCCATTCTTGAGTGAGTCACCTGCCTGACCCCAAAAATGAAACTTAGTTTTCTGGGGTCAGACCAATACTTCTACACTCCTAAAGTTGGGTGGGCCAGGGGAAGCTTAAGCTTTCTCATTTCTAGCTCTTGCATTTATGTGTTCCCCTACCCCTCACCATTTAAACGCACCAGCTCACTCCTGAGGAGCTTTCAAGAGTGCTTGAACCTTCTCTCATGCATTTTTCCCCTTGAATTCTTAAATTCAGAACAAAACATAAAATCACAAGATACTAACAACTGACATTTATTGGGTGTTTATCGACAACTGCACCAGATATTTTGCTTAAGTATCTTATAAATATACCTCATTAAATTATCACAACACTAGGAGGTAAGTTGCCTAGTTGAGTAAGCAAAGGATCAGAGCAGGTAAATAGTCTGCCCAAGGTGACACAGCCTATCAGTGTCAAAGCTGAGATTAGAACATAGGTACTCATTACATACGCTCTCTAGAAGAAGGAAACTTTCTTTCAGGGCTCATTTTAACCTTCCAAAATGTCTTCTTGGTCTACACAAAAGCAAAGAACAGGTGCAAACCGTCTTTACAACATAAACTGCACTAATTCTGACAAGGAGGGGTATTCTCTATTGTTTTCTTGTTAATCCAAAGTATAAAATACATGTAAGTGATGTAATCTTCTCTTCACTAGAGCACACCTGATCCACCCCACCCCATTCTAGACCAGTGATCTCTGGGGGAGTACAAAATTAAGATGTTGGATAGTCAAAGCATTTAGATGCAGTACTGTTATATGACAAACAAGGAGTATCAGTAACATCTGAATCTGCAACTAACGATACATAATAAGAAAGAGCATCTGGACTAGTCTGAGAATCTCATCAGATTCACTTCTAAATGGTTGATTTTGAGTATATTATGATTAGTAACTTAAGAAACCACATAGTGTCATGGAAAAAGGCAAAATGAGGAATAATTCATCTCCAGGTGATATCACTTAAATGTGTTGTAAGTCATTCTGTGTTGTGAGATTTAAACATCTGGATACTTAAAGGCTTAAAGATTATCAACATTACTTGACAGATAAATAAGACAGGACAGACATGCTTCCGTCATGCTTCTCCATGATTAACAAGGAAACAGAAATCAAATAATCAAGGGATTTTTTTGGATTACCTTTGGTCCAGGAAGTCCATGGGGTCCCTGAAAATGAAAAATACAGATTTTAATTAAGAATTGATTCACTATTTCCTAGCAGAAGTGATTATTGCATAGCGTAACCAAAGAGATGTATAACAAGAATCCTCCTGTTTGAGCTATAGCTAGAGGCAGGCCAGTGGATGCTATCACCTAGTGAAAGTTCCTTCTAGCTCTTGGATTGTTCTGTAATTGGAAATTCACTAACAGCAATTCTTTCTGCTAAATACCTGTGAGAGGGAGGGAGAAACCTGCCAGGGTTATATGGAAGAAAAAAAATTTTTTAAAGTACTGTGAACCTACACTACTCCTATTTCTCAAATCCACATTTTTATAAAATCTAGGTGGAAAATGTGAAACATGTTATGAGTTTATATGGAATAGAGGTAGGTCTTAAAATACAGAAATTTGCCAAAGAAAAGTTCCAAACTTTAAGTATGGGTCAAGAGGAGACCTTTTACATTATTGAGTCCTCTAGGCCCAAAAGGAATCTAAAGGAAGAAGGAAATGAGGAGATGACAGTCAAGTTTGGAGCCCTGTTGCAATTTAATTAATTAAATTAATTTAATTTAAGACTAAGGAAAGTATTCTAATACAGGAGCACTAAGCATTATTATTTAGAATGCATTTGTTCTTACAAAGATGAATTCTTCAAGGCTCTCATAATAGTTGTTTACCAGTGGAAAGAAGTTATAACGCATACATGAATCAGGGTTTTTCCCCTGTATTTTGTGGAAAATCTAACTATAGAGACTAATTTCCAACCTAAATTAGCTTAAGCTTATTATGGATTGCTTTAAACTTTTCAAGTGATTTAAATGAACTCTTTGGAGAGAGGAGAATTTAAACACCCAACAGCAAAATCATACAACAGTACAAAAAAGTTTTTTTATCAAACAATATACAGATATTTGTTACATATGTCTATACTGGAATAATATTTTCCCTTTAGGTAAGTGGTGGATAAGCATTTTCAGGAAATGGCTGTTATTTTATTAAGTAGTCTTATTTCAGTAATGGTGTAACATCCCTTTAAACGAATTAATTTTATATGAACAGGATATAGCATTTTAAAATTTAATTTCCTAACTTAAAGTGGAGGGAGTATAAAAAAAAGCCCAAAGTATGCCATTTACTGAATTCTTAATGAATTGTTTAGTTTTAAGAAAATAAGCTCAATTATAACTGTTTTGTGGTATGAAATAGAAATGGCAGTTAGTAAGAAATAGATGATTGGGTCTACGGCTATGCTTTGTGGCTTAGGTCATTTCAGTGATGCTCTTTCTTAGAGCACAATAGGAGGAAAGAGTGACCCATGGTTTATTTAATCTGTATGATTGAAGACATGGGGTTTATTGAGACACCTTAGAGATGAATGTGACCTTAGAAGCTACCTAACTTGTCTGAGTCCTGCCCCAGCCAAAGGCACTTGAAGCACTCTGCCTTCTACGTTCTAGCTTTAACACTAGTGCCATTGGGTGGACGTTTTAAGAATTACACCGGTTTAAGGGCTGCCTTCAGCACCTGACATGAGTTCTATGAGAGCATGGCCATTGACTCTATTGGTCACTGAGGGATACTTGTAGTAAACCCTGGATCCACCAGAGTACCATAAAAATGAAAAGAAAAAGAAGCAACAAGATATGTCATCTGTGGAAGTGAGCTTCAGTTTTTACCATATTATTTTATAAGTGTTCCTATCAAACATCTCATTAAAGGATTTCAACCAAAGTTGGTTAGACACATTCATTAATGGCTACAATTATTAATCTTGTTATGCTACTAATGGCCTAAACAGTGGTTGGTTAAGATGATTTTTTGACGTTCATACTGTAGGTTGGAGTAAAGCTTGTTAAATCTACCTTCAAGTCTGCTATCACAAAACTACTCTATCTCTTTTCAAGAGATGTGTTTGGGGGAGTGAAAGAACAACACTGTAAAGTCAGTATATCTCAAAGCACCTCGTATTTTCTGTCCATTCCAGAAAATAGCACAAAATACAAACTGGCTGCTTTGAGGGATGTGTTCTTGTTTTTTTCTAGTAGCATGCTTGTAAATAAATGATTACATTTGGTAGAGAAGAAAGGCTTACCATGGGGCCTGGTGGGCCATGGGGGCCTGGTGGGCCTGGTGGGCCTATTATCTGTATGTCCAAAACATAAACATGGATTTGGTTACTTCATTTAGATAAGGCAGTTTGGCTTGAATCTTATGCTGGCGTTCTGCTAAGGCCATTAATAGCTGCAGTGGAAGAATACTAGAAGAAGTGACGCATTTGATTCTTTACCTTTAGAAATTCCTTCATGAGAATAAAAAAAAAACACTAAAAAAATACAGTCTTTTTACAAAAACCAGAATAAATTTAAAGTACATTAAAAGAAAAGAGAGCAACTGATTACCAAGAAATGCTATAATACCACAATCACTATTAAACTCTCAAATTATTTCACTGAGTAGCAACAGGGCTCTGGAGAAAAAAAAAACGTATGTTCTGTATTCACAAAGCTCTACCCAAAAGCATTATGGGAAAACCATTGATTTTCTCCTTATGATTAAAGAGTCCCCTAAAAAACTGCTTTTAACTCAGACCTCTGAGACACTTTGTCTCTCATTATACAAGGCCGACAAGACGTATTCTCTACAGTTTGACAAACTAAGAGGTTCATGGTCTTTCTACTGTTGATAAGCCCTCTGGCACAGGTCGAACTGGGTAAATAAAAGGTCTGTTTCAGAGTTCTTTAGGAACCATGGGAGTTCAGCTGCCATGGACTTACGGAAGGACCCTGAGGACCCGGCAGTCCGGAGTCTCCTTTTTCTCCTTTCATTCCATTGGCACCCTACAAATAACCAGTAAGAGCTGAGATGGTGAAGTTGTTCCCCAAGTGTAAGACCAATCATTCTTTCGAAATTTTTATAACATTATATACATGATATATAAAAGAAGGATTTATCCCCTTGCATTTTAGCCTCAAACAGCAAGCTTCTCCAAATCTCTAGGATTGTGGATGATATGTGAAATAAAATATAAAGTAAATAAAAACTAGGGTAGGCTTGATTGGTTAAACTTATACATTGTTAAATATATCAGATTATAAATGTTATATTTCTTATGATGGTGCTCACTTTAAATAGCAAAGGTCAGTCTTTTAACTTAGTTTTCATTGACATTTATTTATACACTTCCTTGCTTTAAAATAGATCTAGGGCAGTGCAGTTTTCTACATTTTTCTCTATTTTTCCTTCCAAATTCTCAGTAAAAATTATGGGGTAAAACCATAAAAACACCATTCCATACACACAAAGAGAGCACTTTCAAGAGTAACTTGTTTTTAAATTGTTCTATATTTTTTAGCTTATTTAAAAATGACCAGCTACCACCATTCTATGCATACCAAATTAAAGTGATCAACTATACTTATTTTACTATCTTCAGATGAAAATAATTCAGGAAAACATGAAGCTTTATCTTATAATTCATTTGGTTAGATGCTTTAAAACTTGTTTTAGTGGCCCAGTTGGAGTAATTTACCAACAATACCTCAAATATTTAAAAATAAAAATGTTACATTTTTACGTAATATTAACCACTAGATGAGACTGCAGCTAGTCATATAACTCTTTTTTGATTATTTAATTTATCTTAATATGAACACAACTTAAAAAAGTATAAACATACCGGTAATCCAGGAAGTCCAATTCCTCCTTTTTCACCTGGCATACCTGGGTCCCCCATGTCTCCCTTTGAGCCTTTAAGTCCCTACAAATGATATGGTTTGCATGTAAGAATCATACTGACCCTTGATAGTAACATCCTAGGGAAAACAGAATTCCAGATCAGTTTTGTCAGTGGGTGGTCCTATGCTGAGATGATTCTGATTTTTACTATTAGGTAGAGTTATTTCTTATAGCAACCTTCTACATTGAATCAATACTATTTCCTCATGTAATGAGAGGGGTTAAGTTCTACTACGTAGGTCATTTAAGTATGAAAATCATGAATTTAGGTGTTAACATAATTTCTCCTGATTCTATATTTTTACCTGGCAGCTAATTCGATACCACTGGTCCTGAAATAATTTAAGGGATTAAATTCTCAGCAGGACAATGTGCATTTTGAACCAGGACTAATGTTATAATAACAAAGGTTCCAATAAATTTCTCCCATCTCTATCCATGACACTTCCCTACCCCTCTTAAAAACAGGCAGAAGTTCCAGTCACCATCAGTTTCAATGGTTCAATATAGAGAAAGGTAAATAATGTAGGCACAATCATTAGGTACCTAGTCATTAGGCACCAGTGCTCAATTAAGTTTAGAAACACTTTAACTTTTCCACAGTGTTATTTTATTCTCACGACATCCCTGTGAGGTGATCCATGATGTTATTTTTATTCTTTTACAGTGAGGAAATGGATGTATTTTTTGAGTGCTAGCAAATCTGAATTTTGTAATAATAATAATACTGAAGTTAATTTATATTGTTAAGCATTTTCATCCAAGGGGCTTCACTATCCTCCGACCAGATGGCCCATTCTTGAGCAGGGATGATCATAGTTTTGATAGTCAGGGGCCCCTGGCTGCACAAACCTGTTCATCTTTTCCATACTACAAACTACTTAAGGACAGGAACACGTCTTTTCTTTACTTTTACCTATAGCACTTAGTTCAGAATCACTTGCTAGGTGGGTGGGTGGGTAGGTGTCTGAATGGGTAGATGGATCTTACTGGTTAATCAGCTCCTGGTTCGTTTTAGGAATCTAGTGATGGAGAGCAGCAGGGTAGCCAACCTCTGTTATTAGACTTAATAGCAGAAGAAGACCTTGTGAGGCTTATAGAAAAAAAAAATCCAGCTATTGTATATGTAGGGACCATGTAGTATGTTACTCTGCATGTCAAATTAATTATTTTTAATGACTAACACTGGGAAAGGAATACAACTAGCTTTTCTTTGTATTCTCTTTAAGAGAGAGAGAGAAAGAGAGAGAGAACATGAGTGGGAGAGGTTCCGGGGGAGGGAGAGAGAATCCCAAGCAGACTCCCAAGCTGAGTGTAGAGCCCAATGCAGGGCTCTATTTTAGGACCCTTAGATTATGACCTGAGCTGAAACCAAGAGTCGGACGTTTAAACAACTGTGCCACCCAGGTGCCCTAATACAACCAGATTTTTAAATTCTAATGTGATTTCTGATTAATAATAGCAAATCATCTAAAGTCTTTTAATGTTTTAATTATCACATTTATTTAATGTGACATTATAGGATTTCAACATTTAACTCTGATAGTAAAATAACTCTTAAACTTAATTTCTTTTTTTTATTTTATTATGTTATGTTAATCACCATACATTACATCATCAGTCTTAAACTTAATTTCTTATCTAATATTGTCTCCTGAGGAGCATATTTTGCCAACTATATCAAGAATGCTTTTGATCTTTTTTTTTTTAAGATTTTATTTATTTATTTAACAGGGAGAGACACAGTGAGAGAAGGAACACAAGCAGGGGGAGTGGGAGAGGGAGAATCAGGCTTCCCACTGAGGAGGTAGATGCAGGGCTCGATCCCAGGACCCTGGGATCATGACCCGAGCCGAAGGCAGACGCTTAACAACTGAGCCACCCAGGCGCCCCTGATCTTCCTAATTTTAGCCATTTCTTGGGTGAATAATGGAAGCCCAGAAAACATCAAATATCTTGAAGCTAACCATTGTGATTTGACTCTGAGTTCCCCATAGTGTCCACATTCTCCTAGTCAGATTCTTTTTGGGCAGAGGTAAACCACAACTTCTAGGCCAAATCCAGCCCAGGGATTATTTTTGCACAGCCTGAATCTTTGAAAAAAATTTTAAGGGGTGTTCAGATAAACAAACGTGACAAAGACTCCATGTGACCTGCAAAGCCTAAAACATTTACTATCTGGTCCTTTATAGAAAAAGTTGGCCAACCTCTGTTTTAAGGGAAACCTTTGGAGATACTGCCATATTCTGTGAGGGTACAAATACCCCACTTGTTTTTGTTTTTTCGCAATGATCTTGAAATTTAGATGTAATCTTTACTTGGGAAAAAATATTGTCAAAATACATATATAAGCAATATCTAATTTTGTGGAAACTTTGATCGACTGATTTTAATCTCGAATGATTTGTATTCACTGACAAAAATTAGCCTATTCTTACTGAATTGATAATGATCTTATAAGTCTAACAAAAATTTACTGAAGTGTCACTGCTACATAGATTGATAAGGAGTATTAAGACAAAACTAAAATGTCATTACTGCTTATATGCTTCTGCAAAGAAAACTAATGTCTAATTTAAAACCAATTGCTTTTTAGAGTTAATGTAATCTCTACAACAGATGGTGAAAAAAGAGGGAGGATATCATATATCAACACTCATGTCTTTTTGGCTCCAAATCTATAATAAAAGTGGTGATCAATTATGATGCTTTAAATGACAGTATGTATCTTTGAAAATTACCTGCTCTCCATCAACTCCTGGGATTCCTGGAGATCCTGGTTCTCCCTGTTAATATAAAAAGTGATGGCTTGCCTCCATTTATCATTGGTAAATAAATAAAGTCATGTTACCTGGTGACAGTACAATTTGACTTTCAGCAAATGCATCATAACCCAGGAACAGCTCGTTACATCATACACATATCAAAACTAAGTGAAATAACATTTTCTTGAAGATTATATATAACAATACTTATAAGTAGCTAAGATCCAATGTTTTTATTTTTTGCCCCAAGTGTGATGTAGGCTAAAGGAAAAAATGGTGAAAGAAAAACTGATAGAGATTATTTGGTGGCTGATCATATTCTATAAAAACAACCTATATGCCTTAGTTAACTTTTTTCTCCTTAAAAATATCTGTATGATTTCTCTTCATTTTCCAACTTGAGAAAAAAGCAAAAACATGACAGTTGACTAAGAACAGAATGCAAAGCCCCATAAGTTTACAATATTTTAACTGATACCATTTGAACAATGGATACAGGTTCATGATTGTGAATGTGTATTTATAGATAGAATCAATCAGATAATATCTTAATCCACATAAAGTTACTTTTGGATCGATTCAATTACCTATACTATGCTAGGAATGAATTAAAGTTTACTATTCATATGATTTATTAGAAACCTCGACAAACCCAAAGTCTATTTTTTCTTAACTGAAGATGTCCCATTAAAAACAAATGTAACAATGTGCTAGATATTTATTCAAACAACAAATGCCCAGTCACTTTTCATTTGGAAAGGTGCTGAACAAACAAATTCTTTGAAAGGTAAGATATTATTTTAGATCAATGCATCACTTTTGTAGATCCCCTTATATTGAAATTGTTAGAGATCATTTCCCTGGTAAAAACTGTAAGAGTTATCATCCACAGCAGGAAATTTGAGCTTTCCAATGTTTAAAGAAAGCCTGACAAATGCAAAAAAAAAAAAAAAAAAAGGAAAAGCCCTTCCTTACTCCTGATTTCCGGTTCTTTGTGGTAGCAGCAAAGTTTATTTTGCCACAAACAAGTCTGCTGAGGTTGGATGCACCTGGCTAAGACCTAGTTTCATTCAGTCTGAATACTTGTTAGCACTCTGGGTCCAATAACGATTGTTTTGCTAAGCTTTTACCTTCACAATGTGACCGGGGAATGTTTAAAAGAAAACGTAACTCATGACTTATGAATTTATCTTTCACTCATCAAATGTAGTTTGCAGAGTTACCTGATGTGTAAGAAGTCAACTGATCCTGGTTTGATAAAGGAAAGAGAAACACTGATGGAGTAGGTTCCCATTCAGTCTGAGGTTGTAAGTCCCTGGTGCAAATGGGCTCTATATTTGACTCAGGCGGCATTTGCTGATTCTGGGCCATAGGCACATCGCCCCTCAATTATCCCAACCTTCCCGAAGAGAGATCATGGAAAGCTTGAAAGACTGTATCAGTCAGTCCAAGAGTTCAATTATGAGATCATTGTGCCTTGTGTGGGGTGGGGCAGAGTGGTCGCATAGTAGGAAGGCTGGCAGGGGTGCGAGGTAAGGGAGTCTGACTGATACCCTCCCACAACCCACTTGTCATGACATTCATTTGGCCAGTGTCCTCCTCAGTTTCAGCCCAAAAGTCATCCTTGATTCCCAAGACTGAGAGTAGCCTTCCCATATGCACGTCCATAGCATGTATTCTTCATCAAAGAAGTGCCTTTACTTGCCTATCAAAAGGGTAATCTTTTTGTCTCTTTAGGACAAGGGGTGGGTACCCTTTGGAATTCTGTAGATCCTTTGGGCTTTAAAGAAGGGTAAAGTCCTAGAAGCTTTTGAGGTGTGTTTAGCACTGAGGCCAATTTTGGTTCTGGAGACTTACTCAAGTGAGGAGAAGAACAAGGAACTTAGATCCTAGTTGACTCTACACAGATGAAAAAGGAATCTGCAGATTTCCTTCTTGGTTGTCTAATCCAGCTCACCAAGATATTAGAGAGTAGGGATCCAGGCTGACTTGCTTACCAGGAACAAATAACTGGAGGATTTTTGTGTTACATTTCTTAGGGACCAGAATGTGATAGAGAAATAAAAAGTTAAAAAACCCTAAACCTTACATTTATGTCGTACATGAGATCTGTTTGAAATTAGGCTCCATGTTCTAAATATATCTTACATGGGTAAGGACCTCAGCAATATTTTACTTTATACTCCTTTTTATAACAGAAAAAGAACTTTCTATGTGCTAGCTTTCTGTTTTTAAGTATCTTGAAAGAGAAGGGTACAAAAGCTGGTGTGTGTGTGTGTGTGTGTGTGTGTGTGTGTATGACAGACTTAGCAAATAAACTGCCTTAAAAGGCACCAACAAAAGATGAATTTCAAAACTACTTGAATCTCCAATAGAACTCCAATGATTAAAGTCATATTTCAACAAACATAGCTCAGTTCTGAAAAGCTAGAGACATGGCCATGTGTTAATTGCTCAAATGTGGTTAAACAACTAAGTTTAAGTTTGGAGGGGTAAAGCTAACACCACTAATAAATTTGAAATATAATCAAGTAATTCTAGTTTTCTGCTATTCATAGGTGCTATGTTTCATTAGATAAGATTTAAATGGCAGAATGTCTGAATAAATATAATAGGATATGTTATAAAAAATGACTCAAAAATGATTTCTCCAATCGTCATCTGTGAATACATCATGCTAAAGCTTCTCTTGTTCTTTTTATTATAAATGAATTGAAGGGAAAAATCTTTTTTAGTGTTAGAGCAAATTTTCCTTCAATCCTCCTCTATAGAAATATTTTCCTTTTTTCATACACTACATTTAGTGGTTCTTTTACCTTTATAATTTCTGTAAAACTTATTTTTCCCTTGTTTAATATTCTGTTTTTCTCAGCGTCCTCCCTCTAAATTTAATGTTACTTATTTCTCTCCCTTCTTTTCTAATTTTCCTTTTTTTTTAATCCTGCTTCCTTCAGCCCAGATCTCAATGTTTATTCTTAGCTGCCTTAAGCGATATTGTGATCTCAGCTCCTTCAGCATTTTGTAAGAAGGATTTTTCAAAGATACATATATTTAAGGTGGGATTCTCTATACCATATATGGTAAATGGAAACAAGTAAAATAAAGAATAACCTTTGGCCCTTGTAGTCCTTGAGGTCCAGGTGGTCCAGGGGGACCCTAAATCAAGAAAAGACAAAGTTATAAAAAGTAGCAAGTATATGTATTGCAATTTAAATAATAAGTACACTATATACTTCCCTTATTTCTGTCATAATCAAATGTCCCCCAATATTAATTTGCAATAAGGACAAATTTCACTGGCTATGGAATTATAAAAATGACCTACTTATATGCAAAAATATCAATACATTTAGGTAAAATAACACTGAAGATGCTTTTGAGTTTACTCTATAAGATAATGCAAAATTGCCACTGTGTCCCACATTCATCTCCTTGGGATGAGTTAGCTTACTAATATTACCTGTGTTTCTAGACACCTGGCCTCCCCCCACACACAAGGGATTTGATTTCTCAAACACTAAGGAACAAAGCTATGTTATTATAAGGCCAAAGATTTTAAGAGAAGTAACAATAACTTTTTTTTGGTCTTTTTCACTAAGCAAACAAATGATTTAATTGGGGTAAATGTTATAAAAGGTTATTAATATAAGGAAGCATAAAACTAAATATCAGACAAAAACAAGTGCTGCATTAGTACCATTATGACTGGCATGCATCAACACCAAATACGAAGTCACAGACCACAGAAATCATGCAACGGGAGTTACCGTGACAGTTAGGGTGGTAATCCTCTGTTGGGAAAATGTATTGACAAAGACAGAGTTACCTATTTTGTGTGCTAAAGTACAATAATACATTTCTGAAAAAATCAATTTTTGAATATGTTCTGGCAAGTGTGACGTCTTATAAGAGACTGACAAGATACTGAAAACATACTATCCTATCTTTAAATGAATATAATATAGTTGTAAAGATTTTGGGGGGAGCAGGGGTCAGAATGCCATTCATCACCTGATAAGACTGTTTTTTAAACTATTTTTATATTTTTCTTTAAAAAATCTATGTGTAAAGAAAAACGAAAATGTCAAAATTTTAATTCACCTGAATAAAAAAATTTATGTAGTAAAATGGTGTACTGCAGAGCTTTGTTGGCATGACTGTGAACTGAGAAATTGCTATTCGCAAGAATTCCATTCTAGAGCAGTTCAATTAGGGAAAACAAATATCCAGTTGTATGTATAAGTAATATTATTTTTCTTTTTTAGACTTCAGCTTATTTGTTGCGTTATAATTAGCTTTTTTTGGGTGCCATGGCTAAAGAGAGGAGTTGACATGGAATTCATCCAATTTCTTAGTGAAAAGTAGTAAGTATGAATTTCCACAACATTTCTTCCTTAATCCATGAATCATTTCTGCATTAATGTTTTCTAGTCTAAGTCTCGTGCTAAAAGTTCTTTTTGTGTTGTGTGTGAGAGAGAGAGAGAGAAAACGTGCGACCAGAGGGGCGGTGGGGGGTCGTAGTGAGGAAGGGCATAGGGAGAGGGAGAAGGAGAGAGAGAATCTCAAGGAGGTTCCACACCCAGCATGGAGCCCCAGGTGGGTCTCGATCTCACCACCCTGAGATCATGACCTGAGCTGAAATCAAGAGTTGGTCGTTCAACCCACTGATCCACCCAGGTGCCACTCATGCTAAAAGTTCTATAGGGCCCATAACCCCCTGATGTGGTCATAGAGGGAGCACATTTTCCATCAGCGACTCTGGTCACAGAAAAACATTACCCAGTTACACGTAAAGTTGTGAATATCAGTTTAAAACCATCCTTTTGTTTTTTACTCCTCCATTTCAATTTCTGATTCAGGTTGCTGCTGTTGTTTATTATTGTTGTAAAAAATAATCTTAATATTACCAATCTTGCTTCAAACACTTGGGTCTCTAGTGACATGGTGTCATCATTCCTTAGAAAACAATATATTTATGCATGTGTACAAGTGGTTAAAGTTTGTATTCTATGATAAAATCAGTCGTGGTCATTACAGCTTCATGGAAAACACAGTAGGGAAAAAAAAAACACCACCAGCTCTTCTAAGACAAAAGGAAGAGTGGTCACAAATTGGGGGCAAGTTTAAAAAAAAAAAATCAAGGCCCAGATTTTTATACTATCATATTTGTGTAACATAAGGCACCACTTACTTTATTCTTAAGGGATTCACCTAGAGCAGGAGTCAGATTTATGTTTATGAGAAAGCTACTTCTTTGCTCCTATAAGTAGGTGAGTCATTTTTAAAAAGGCTATTAGAATATTATAGAGTAGAAATAATTTCTTTATCACTGCCCTCCAATTATATATTATATTTTTAACTACAAAGCAGAATCATAAAGCCTCAGAAAGGGAAGGGACTTTACAATTTGAACTCTTTGACGTTTTCCAAATGTACCATATTTGAATTCATTTTCCACCTGGACACAAAACTAGTTTGTCTTGGGCGCCTGGGTGGCTCAGTTGGTTAAGCAACTGCCTTCGGCTCAGGTCATGATCCTGGAGTCCCAGGATCGAGTCCCGCATCGGGCTCCCTGCTCAGCAGGGAGTCTCCTTCTCCCTCTGACCCTCCCCCCTCTCATGCTCATTCTCTCTCTCAAACAAATAAAATAAAATCTTTAAAAAAAAAACAAAAAAACTAGTTTGTCTTTTTTTAAAATGTAAGGATAACAACATGTTTTATAATGAGTTGCCTAATAAAGGCATATTATTAATGGTAACTGAACTATCTAACAGATGGAGTTTATGTCATCTTGTTAAACAACTACATTTTGTGAGACCTAACAGTTACATAGAGTGGGTTTCATCCAGCTAATAATAAAAAGAACAAATGACAAACTAAGCTTAACTTCTAAACAACACAGTTTTTACCACCATCCTGAAGCACCCGTGTGCAGACACACAGACACATCCTGAAGATGTTGACTCACTCTGGATTTCTAAGTTAAACCCATGTGAACTCAGCAGCGTTCTCTCTTGAACTCCAGGAATGATGGGAAAACCAGAATTTTTGGTAGTGATGGAGAAAGACACCTTGTTCTCTATGTGGCACGATGTGAAATGGGAGGCATGAACTGGAGCAACAATAAACAGGTTGAAGCCTCACAGGCTGTTTTGTGATTTATTCCCTGAGATGCTTATGTGAATTTCTTTAGAATTAAAAGTTATTTTTCTTTCGTTTCTCAAATGATGCAAGCTGAAATCACCCATATTTACACTAGACAATAGGTTTAAGTTAGATGGTATTGAACATTTTTAAAAACTTGAGTTAGGAAATAGAGAGGTTTTACTGCTAATTTTGGAAACTTAAAAATCAAAATAAATGGCTTATGGCAGATGTTTATGTAAATAACAATTTTCAATAGAGGCAATGGTCAAATTTTATATTTCTAATGTGATGTTTTTATAATTGTATTATACACCTATTTACCTAATTATTCTAGAGTTTGGGGGGCAGATTTATTTTTAGAGGAGGAGATAATAAAATGAAATCTGTGGGGCGCCTGGGTAGCTCAGCTGGTTGAACGACTGACTCTTGATTTTGGCTCAGGTCACGATCTCAGGGTTGTGAGATTGAGCCCTGAGTCAGGGCTCCACGCTCAGTGGGCAGTCTGCTTGAGATTCTCTCTCCCTCTCCTTCTGCCCCTCCCCCTGCTGTGCTCTCTCTCTCTCTCTCTCTCTCTCTCTCTAAAATAAATAAATAAAATCTTAAAAAAAATGAAATCGGTAAAATGGTGAATATCCATCACTGGTTAAGAACAAAAGAAAAAATGTCTACTACCTCTTCGCAGGCTAATGGCTAAATTGATTTTATTAGGGGGTCCTTGTTCAAGTAGAGTACTATATCAGGAAAACGAATAGTTTAAAAAAATAACTATAAGCTATTTACAAGCATAACACATAGTTGCCCTAACATCCCTATTAAAACAATAAATCTTTAGGTTGAGAAACATGAACTAGTTGACTATGATGGATATTGATTGGTTTGCTGTCATACAGAACTTGAGGTGGAAGAAGAAACTGAGCACATACACCATTTTAAATCAAGACCTAGGTGTTATTTTTTTTAAAAAAAGTATAGTGCGTTTATGCATATTAGCCAAGAGTGTTCAGGAACTCCTAAAAAATGACCCTAAGCATTTTTCCATATCCATACTTTATGGACTCTTAGAAAAAAAATCTATTCCAAAACATCTTTACTTTACAAATAAGATCAATGAAGTATAGGTACACTAAGTGATTTCCCGAAAATGACTCAGCTAGTTAATAGCAGAGGGGAGATGAAAACAGATTTTCAGTTTTAGGTTTTAGCTTGCTTCATGCCTGGCTCTGTTTAAGCAAAGGTTATTTTAAAAGACACAATTTTTCCAAAAATGGCCATAGCCTATAATATCAGAGCATTTCTTGGAAACTAAGAGAATGTACACCTTTTAAAAGTAGTAGTATGAGTTATAGTGTCACTGAAAGAAGTTGAAGGGAAATTTACAACATTGATAATAAATTAAGTTAAAAAATATGTCCGTATATTTTGTAAGTAAAAGCTTTGAAAACACAGTAGGTATATCAAAACTTTTTATTCTCTTCTTCTCTTTTCTTCTACATGCAGTTATCAATTTGTGGGAAAAAAGGAGCAATCAGAAATCTGGTTCTAGAACTTGACAAGAGCCTGAGGCTACTGCTTAAGTCTTACCCACTTGCATTGAGCACTATTTCAAGCTGTTGACTGAACATGCTGACCAAGCAACATATCTCCAAGCAGTAAGTATGTTTCCCTTTGCATTTTACCAGAAGATAAAGAATGAAATGAAAAGAAAAATAGGCTGAGGGGAGGCTGGGTGGCTCAGGTGGTTGAACGTCTGACTCTTGATTTCGGCTCAGGTCATGATCTCAGGGTGGTGAGATGGAGTCCTGCGTTGGGCTCTGCCTCAGCATGGCACCTGCTTGTCTCTCTCTCCTTTAGCTCCCCCAGCCCCTAATCCCACGCTCTCTCTCAAATAAATAAAGTCTTAAAAAAAAAAAAAGAAAAGAAAAATAGGCTGAGCTGAAGGCAGATTCTGCAAAAACTATTTAATAGATGCTTTACTAGTTAAAAATGGTAGTTGTAGCAAAGGACCCATAGAAATGTAGATCTATCACATTAGACACTAGGGGTGAAATCATAAAGATGGGGGAAATAATTCAATCAAGTACAAAATGGCAAATATTTAAAATCAATTTGGCTTTCAAGCAAAGAAATGGATTGTACATATACACTAAGTGTACTCACTCATCAATCAGTAACCATTTGTTCAATATTTACATGCCCCGACCTGTGCCAGGTATATTGGAGGATATAAAACAAGCATGAGACATATTTCTGTCACCAAGAAACTTACAGTCTGCTAAGAGGCAGGACTAAAATAAATTAGGTGATTTGAGAACAATTAAAGGTTGAGCTACTGGGGCCCTGACTGCTAACGTCTGAAAGGATCAAAAGGAAGAATCATCTAGGTGGCAGCAGTACATTGTTGGATGGGATTTAGATGGATGAGAGAAAGGGAAGAAGAATGGGATAAACCAGGCAAAAAAAAAAAGGCTGATTTTTACGGATATGGTAAACACGCGCACTCTTGGGGAAAATTTGTGTTTCGGAGAAATGGAAAATTCTATACAGGAAAGGCAGGATTATAGAGCTTTGAAAGTCAGATGAAGGTCAGGATTGATAGAGGAGGTAAGGGGGTCACTGAGGTTTCTGAGCAGATTGGAGCCATCGAAAAAGTGAGAGTTTAGGAAAATTAGTCTTAGAGTGATATGCAGAATGGGTTAGAAAGGGCAGGGAGGCACGAGGGCTAGGAGAGCTGGTCAAGGGCCTGGCGCAGCGTGAGCCCTGAAAGAAACAGGACGTGGGCCACGTTGGGGATGCAGAGAATGAGATAACCTTAGGAGACACTTTGAGAAAGGAAATAGCAGCATGTGGTGAGATGTAAAGGATGAAGGACTAACAATAGTTGAAAATGACTCTAAAGTTTCTATTTCAAGAAAGGCAAAGAATTTTAGTATCCCTAACAGACAGTGATTAGTTAAAAAAAGGAATCATTTGATTGGTGGGAAAAGTGACCAGTATAATTGTGTGTGTTGGTAGGAATTGATAAGGCGATGGTGCATCCCTGGTGGAAATGTTCTTAGACAGCTGGAGGTACCTGCAGCTCAGACGCAGAGGTGAAAGATTTGGAAGCTACAACACAGAAGAACACAGAGGGAGTGACTGAACCAAGAAAAGATCAGAGACTTGAGTATACCAAAAATTAGGGGATGACAGAGAAATTGGAAATACTAACATAGAATGGATCTATCCAAGCAGAAAACTAGAAGAAATGAGAATAGAGGATTAGAAAAACCAGAAAGAAAAAGTTTCAAAAGGAAGGTGGTTTAGTAGAAATGTCGCAGAAAATCAAGGGTGAGGAGTACAATGGGCTTGACTTAGAGGTCATTAATGGCCTTTATAAGAGAAGTTTCAACAGAATGTTGATATAGGCTACAATGGAGGAGTCCAAGCATGAAAGGATGAACAAAAAGCAAAGGTGATGGAGACAAGCCACATGGTCTATGGATTTTTACTCTATAGGTATTTCTCTATGGTAATCCATTATATTATGAATGGTGACAGTAATAAGAAATACCTACAGAGGACTTAGTATGTGCCAGGCACTGCTCTAAGTGTATTATATGTATTTACCTATTTATTTCTCATAACAACTCTTGAGACAGGTACTGCTGCTACTATCCCCAGGCTACAGGTGAGGACGCTGAGGCACAGAGAAGTTAAATAACTTGCCCTCGGTCATGCGCTTAGTAAGCAAGAGATTTCCACCCAGGCAGCTCTGATTCTAGAGCCACAGGGCTCTTCATTGCTTTGCGAGGCTTCCTTTTGAAGCAAGGAGACAAAAACTGGCAAAATGAGCACGAGGTTTAAACCAGATAACACTAAAGCATATCTGAAGGCAGAAGGGAAAGAAAAGGAAAGACTGAAAAATGCTATGAAATAAAGAGCATACACTGGGGAAGAGCATACACTGGGGAAGAAGATGGGCTCAGGAAGAGGGTGTGCCTGCAGTAGTGGAGCCCTCTGGGATCCTGGGGCACGGGGCAGGGGAGCTGATACTTACACATATTACATGGGTGTTCAGCAGTGTCTCTGTGTCAGGGGAGGGGGCAGTCACTTGCCTGCAAGGCTTCATGGAGGTTGCCATTGTAGTCTATGATCTCGGTGGCTCCCTGATCTCCCTTTTGACCAGGTGGACCCTGTGAAGAAAACCAACCAAGGGAAAATCATGGAAGTTAAGCTAGGCTGTACAAGGGGCTGTGGCAAAAACAAAAATGGCAACATGCAGCTCTGTCTGATCTATTCCGTTGTATGGTCCAACTGCACTGCAGAGTAATCACGTTCGAATTTTGTCCTTATTGCAATTATATATTATATATATTATAAAATTATAAAATGTAGGCTAATCTGATTGGACTTGCAACGTTTTGTTGGCTTTAACAACAAACCTAAAGCAACCCCTAATCTCTTTCTATACTTCTACATCTCATTGGTTGTTTCCTTATTCTTTAAGAAGATAGAACACTGTTCTGTAGGAAATGCTTGGCTTTCTCAGTAGGAACAGAATTCCATTAAAATTAAACCAAAACAGGGTACAGAAATAAGATGTCTACCCTAGACATTAGCTCTGCCACTGCACTTCCATTAGTCATGTCCTAATTCCCTGCCTATCTTTAAAAAAGGCTTTGAAAATATGGGCTATTGCTTTCTTTATAATTGGCTTAATTGAAAAATGGAAAATTCTATTAGCTGGATGGTTATGGGCTTGTTATTGCTCCGTTAGCAGAGGGAAAGTAGATAGAAAGAGTTCTTTAGGCCTTCTTCTTGTGGAGCTTATTTTATGTGTTAGAATCTACATACTTATTGCACCTGGTGACCAAAATAAAAAATAAGAAAAAAAGGGGGAGCAGCAGAAATAATCAGTAGTCTACCCCTAGTGCTATTATTGGGTAATATTAGTCCAGGTGCCATGTGAAAAGCCACATGGACACATGAGTCAAATCTGGGCTTGTAGGGGCCAAAAGCTTAGATGAGAAGTGTACTCACCCTTGGTCCCAGGGCTCCAGAGTCCCCTTTCTCTCCACGATCACCCTTTCCCCAGTGAAAATAGAAAAAAACTGAATTAGTAGTGGGGCCAACGGTCCAGAAATTTCTCAGATCTAAGGATGTATTTAATGCCATGCAGCAGCACCTTTGTTATGAACTTCTGACATGGTAATAACAACTAGAAGAACAAAAACCACTGACATAGCAAATACTTATTTAAGATGCACCGTAAATTCCCCTTCAGATGACAGAGTATCTTGGAACAATAATATATACGGTAACTTTCTTATTAGAGATTTTCAAAAGCAAAGCAAGTGGTTTCTACGATACCCAAAGTAAGCTTTTACCTCTCAGACTGAGCCATGTTCTTGTTTTTATATGAAGAGATTTGGGGCAAAGGGAAAAAGAGCCAATCAATTGGGTTGTCTGTTTTCTGAGAAAAAAAAAAAAAAGATGTATAGATAACCTGGACAGGGAAGGAATGGAGAGCTCAGTCTTGGGAGGTTTAGAAGGGAAAGGTCATCAGGGAGGCCTCTCTTTGATGATGCTGAAGATCTAAGGAAAAGTCTATAGGTATAGGCCTTTTAACACTCAGAAGGTGCTGAAGTGGACAGCAGCTAGCTAGAGCTGGTTGGCAGGGCTGAAGGTCAGGGGTAGGGCAAAGCCAGCTTTGTTTTTCAAATGCAGGATGAAAAATCTCTAAAGTTCCATTCATGGTGTTATGACCCAACCTGGAGAGAAACCAGGAATAGTCCTTGCACAAACCACACAGGCATCACTCTGAGAACACTCAAAATTCTCCTAAGTCTAAAGAAAAACTGTGGAGTAGAGATATATATGAACCTGTGTCGACTTGAAAGTTTTTTAAGACAGCCTTAAATTTGTAGTGTCCTTTTCCTAGGTGTAATTCAAAGCATTTTTAATATATCTTTCTACATATTTCATAAAATGGATATGGACCAATGAAAGTAAGCAGGAAAAGCGTTTTTAATTTTTTTCCATCCACATTATATGAATAACATTGACCATAATAATTAAATTTGTTATGAATAGAGAATTAATAATTTCTACTCTCTGTTTTCCTCATTTTTTACCCATTTTTTTCACGTTATTAGCTGATAGCATCTTAAATAACATGATTCTGCTAACAGTATATAGATTATGGCAAATATTATAAAGAGCATGATCAAGGAAAGAATTTCAATCACCAGTGAAATTTTAATGCCACGGAGGGGATCAACTAACTTAAAAGCAAAGTATAATTTGAACATTTATCACAAAGACGGCCAGGAAATAAATGAGATTATACCCTACATAGTGTAAATTAAATAAAGTCTTTTTTCTTCCCCCAAGAAGCTATTCTTATGAAACAGGAAATACAACTTCTCTTAAAGAATAGTCAGAAGCACAAGAACACACAAAAGTAAACAAGATGAAACAAACCAATTGTTTCGAGATAGTATCACAGGGATGAAAATATCGCGATCCCAGTGTGTGAGAATTTAAAACGTGATTCTCTGTGGAAGAAGCAAAAGGCATAGCCCTTGAAGGCCTCATGTGACATTAAAATGGTTACTTGGTTACTGACCTTTGACCCCTTTGGGCCTCTAGTTCCTGATTCACCTTGTTTCCCCTATTATAGGAGAATATGAAGATGGAAAAGAGAAATAACAGAGGAGATAAGAACAGAAAAAAGAAATTAGCAGTGACTCAGAAAAATGAAAAATGGAAACACTTTATTGTAACTGCCTCAATATACGGCTGGACACAATTTTGGCTATCATAATACAAAGCAGAAGTAATTATCACCATAACATTAGCTCATTCTCTGGTCTCACCACCACCTTCATTCCATTATAATTCTGAAGACTGCCCACCCATCATGGATGGGAAGAGTTCTGTGAATAATCCTCATTAGTCTCAAAAGTGTTGGCATAAATTTCTTTTTCATCAAAGAGTAAACCATTTCCTGTGTCTCTAGGATGGGTTATTAGAATAAAGTGTTACCATATTAGTTTACAGGAAGTTTAGAGGAATAAAGACTGAATAGTGAAATAAATCCTTAGCTCTGATATTTTCAGGGTGTTCTACAACTTCAAGTTACCACAGAAACTAATACAACGCGTATCAACATTTTTCTCAGTAAGTTTTTTTTAATTTTATTTTCTTATGTTAGTCAACACACATTACATCATTAGTTTTCGATGTACTGTTCCATGATTCATTGTTTGCGTATAACACCCAGTGCTCCATTCAGAACGTGCCCCCTTTAATACCCATCACTGGGCTAACCCATCCCCCCACCCACCTCCCCTCCAGAACCCTCAGTTTGATTCTCAGAGTCCATAGTCTCTCATGGTTCCTCTCCCCCTCCGATTTCCACCCCTTCATTTTTCCCTTCCTACTATCTTCTTTTTTTTTTTTTTTTAACATATAATGTATTATTTGTTTCAGAGGTAAGTTTTAATACACACTGAGTGATAGCATGTTAATATGACAGTACGTCCTCTCTCTTTACATTTGGATGTGTTATTAAATTTGTCTACTGGACAGAACAAACTGGAAAAGTTGAATGGTAAAATTCCTTTTGAAAAGAACCAAGCAGTGTGCATTTCAATAAATTGTGATTTTTGCTGTTTTAATACCTGTTGAGGAACTGTATTTTAGTTTCGTGTTCTAAAGTAAATAGGACACATTTCCAAACCAAAGAAAGCTATCTTCCAATGCAAGAATAACTGACCTTTGGTCCAGGGGCTCCAGGCTCCCCTCGCTCACCTCTTCCAGGAGGCCCTGCCTCCCCACGTTCACCCTGTCACAAAATACAAAACAAGTAAATGGCAATTCCTCCTTCCCCCCAGGCTGGTCCCTGTAGATTAACAAGTGAATTCAGTAAAATCAAGGAAAGCACAGAGTTACCATTTATTTACCATGTATCCTGCATTGTATTAATCTCAACATGGATTATCTCATTTAATAATCAAAACAATTTTTCAATGTTTGTATTATCATTCCTATTTTATACACAAGGAAATGGTTTGGTAATGCCTACCTGATACCTATGTTGGTAAATGGAAGACCTTTAAAGGGAATTGATAAGAACCATCATTATATCTCAAGACAGACATGGACATGGTTTTCATTCTGCAGCCACTTTTTAAGATCTGCCAGGAGGAAGCATGGCAAAGTGGCTAAGTGCCAGGTTTTATAATTTGATGATATCCTGGTCTTTAATCCTGGCTCTGTTATTTACCAGTTCCGTGTTTGGGACAAATTAGTTAAGTTCTGAAAGCCTCAGTTTTCTCTGTAATGTGAAGAAAAGTATAGTATTGATCTCACGATTTACGAAGGCAAAGTGCTCAGAATGGTGTAAGATACATAGGTGTTATAGCTTTTAACTATATTCATAGCTTTATGAAGTATGAACATGATCACTGTTCTCAAGGAGCTAATGATCTGGTTAGACAGACAAGATCCACATAAACAAAATAGTTAAGAATTAAGGAGTAATTAAGGCTAATAGTGAGAGAAGAGGGAATCCCATAGGGTTTTGAATGGTCCAGATTGGCTTGCTGGAGGTGAGATCCGAGTCATGTCCTAAAGGTTGTATTTTATAATTATTGTTGTTTATGACTATGCTGTTGATGAGTCCAGCAGCTGCCTAAAACACTTCACATGTGCTATCTTATTTAATTGTTGGGACAAAGGGGAAAGGTGATGGTTCCCAGAGTCTACAGATGAGGAGACTGAATAAAGCTCAGAGAGGTTAAGGAACTTGGCCAAAATCACAAAGCTTTTAAAGTGGGAGAGCTGTGATGTAAAACTGTGCTCAAACTTCTGTATTTTTTTGCATAATGTTTCTGTATGTAAATCTTTGCACATATCTGGTTATTTTATTTTTTTAAAGATTAGACTAATTAAAAATTTTTTTTGAATTTTATTTATTTATTTGACAGAGAGAGAGAGAGATCATGAGTAGGCAGAGCAACAGGCAGAGGGACAGGGAGAAGCAGGCTCCCCACTGAGCAGGGAGCCCAATGCGGGGCTCCATCCAAGGACCCTGGGATCACGACCTGAGCCGAAGGCAGACGCTTAACTGACTGAGCCACCCAGGCTCCCCTGGTTGTTTTCTTAGGATAAATTCCTAGTTGGGGAATTGCTGGGTCAAAAAGTACAAACATTTGAAAAGCTTGCCAAATTGGCTCTCCAGGAAGACCGTGTATTGTTTTCCATTCCTGAGCACAGAGTAGAGAGTGTCTGCTTCCTCCCTGATGGGTAGAATTGCAATAATCAAAAAGGTTTGGAATTCAGACTGGTGATGGCATGTTTATGGGTGAGAAAGGCACCCTCCTCACTGAAGGAACTGATTCATCATGGAAAGGAGAATAAAATAGCACTCGATCCATCCTGGGTGATTCTGGGCTCTAAATTCCAAGATCTTTATCTGTATCATGCCCACTTTGGGAAGCCTGTGGGGTTTTGCAGGGGAGATGGGATAGATTAGGGCAAGGATTAAAGAAGACTCAGCAGGTTCTTCAGCATGAACCGAAAAGAATGTGACAATGGAGAGCCTGGGAGAAAGGCAAGGGACTTGTCTGGATAGAAGAAATGGAAGAGATCTTCCAAAAGGGATTTTCCAGGGATTAGAGAGGGAAGGGCCTCTGTTGGTGTATGGAATTTTAATTTTTAAGAAATGTACCATATTTGGTCTTTCTTTTAATATTTTACAGAAGAATTCTAAAATAGTAATTATAAGCTTACTTTAAAGAAAAGCAAAAACTTGAGAAAATCATTTATCTATAGCATACTACAGGAGTGGAGCCTAGAATCACTTTTTGTCATAATGCCCCTAATTAGCTGCTTGTCACCCTATGGATTTATACTATTTATGTGTTTACTTCTATCTCTCCTTCCACCTCTGTCTCACATATACTGGAATGTAAGCTTCAGGAGAGTAGAGAGTTTTTGTTGCAGTTACTCTTCATCCTCAAATATTAGAAAAATCTCTGGCAAAAAAAATGTGCTGAATTAATGAATAAACATTTTATTCAAAGTGTTCTGAATTATTTGTAATAAAACCCCATTTCTTTAGACTGACATAGGTTTCTCTCAGACACTTGATACAGATGCTGAGGAAACAGCAGTACATAAAAACAAATTTTTAGATACCCTTATACATCTTCCTTCCTTACAATCTCTCTTCACTGTGTTGGGGATAAAATATGCAGGATTAGTTTATTTTTTAAGTCTGAATTTAGTGGTACAAATCCAGACTTGCCTACACAACTGGAAAAAGGCCACTGTTGCGCTGAGAGAGAATTTTAAATAAACATGACTTTTCAATTATGATACCAAATTCATGTTAAGCAGTTCAGCTGAAAATTGCTCATATTGTTAATATAATTGTTAAAATAATGTTAATAAAACAAATTTCCTGTCCACATCCCTTCTTGTGGAAAGATGAAACAAGTACAGTACATTCTTTACTTTTATTGGGAATTCAGAGCCGTATCTGTTAAAATCAGGCTGGGTTCTTCATGAACAGAAATCAATGTTGATTTTGTGGGTTTACACCTGGATTTTTTTTGAAACCCCAGAGTAGTTTATTTTTATTTTTTTAAAAGACTTTATTTATGTATTTGAGAGAGAGAGACAGAGAGAGACAGAAATAGCAACAGAGATAGTTAGAGCATGAGTGGGGAGGAGAGGGAGAGCAAGCTTTTCCCTGAGCAGGGAGCCCAACATGGGGCTCGAGCCCAGGACCCTGGGATCGTAACCTGAGCCGAAGGCAGATGCTTAACCGACTGAGCCACCCAGGCACTCCAGCTCCAGAACAGTTTAAAGATTTTATTTTTAAGCAATCTCTATACCCAGCATGGGGCTCGAATTCACAACCCTGAGATCAAGAGTCTCATACTCTGCTGACTGAGCTGGCCAGGTGCCCTGAGACTGCAGGGTAGTTGAAAATCAGTGAACTAAAAAAATGATATTTAGGGATGAACTCCATTCCCTACGGCCTGTGTTTCTTCTACTTCCCCCTTTTTAGCAAACAAAATGCCACAAACATTTAAAGATCTAGTTCACACCTGGTTCTCTCTCGCATTGACCAAGTTTCCTGTTCCTTTTGCTGATCTATGAGGCCGGCTTCTTTCTTTACCGGGCTCTGAGGCAGCAAGCCCGGATAAATACCACAGTTCTCATGTGAACGCCGAATCCTCATTATTCTCTTGCTTCCTCTCTCTTTATTCCAGAAAACACATTTCTGGTGTGAATCTGTTCAGGCTAAAACAGGCATTCCTCATATTTTGTTAATAAACCTGACAGCTCATTATGTGAAAGAGAAATTGCTTGAGAAAACAGCAATTTTCATAAATTCTACCGGGTTTCAGTCCCCCTTCGGCCACACATAGTTTCCATTTACTACAATTAGAGTTATTTTCTCTTGATCAGCAGAAATGAGGACCCCTCTGTCAAAACAGACCATGAACATATTTCCCGAGCTCTTAGAAATCATCCTGGCTTACTTCTGGTGAATGCGATACACACTGAGGCAAAGACTTCTACAGTTTAAAAATAAAAGAATGTAGTTTGATCTAATTTTGCCCCTTTGATTCATGAGCCTGTCATGAGTAAAGTTCCACCCATACCTTTTTATGTCTTACTGAGTAGATAAAAAGAGAACTACGGGTCCAACTACATCCACAGCAACATAATTTTTTATATGGTGGCATATAGATTTTGCTTTTAGGTCCCTCTCTAGGGTTGCCAAGTGTAAGATCATGACATGGTTTTCATTACAGGATCTTTCTCAGACATTATTCAGGATAGATCCTTTTGAGATGAGACACTTAGGAATCTATATGATATCAGTACTTGCCTTTGAAATCTAGGGAGTGAGCAGGGGGCAAGGGGAGGGGGATAATAATAATGTTTGATTTACAAGTATGTCCTAAAATTGGCAATAAGGAGCAGCAGTTAATGATTTCTCTCTCTCCTCATCACAATCCCCCTACTTTTTCATATGGTCGGGAGGCAAACAGCATCATATCAATTTAGGAACAATTTGGGGAAAACAGGAGCAACTAATATATTTCATTATCCTGTTGTCTTACCTGAGGCTTTCTGGAATTAACTTCCTATTACTCTATTTAATCTGGTTTTCCATTAGGAGTGTTAGTAATAGGTGATCGATGTTTTCGTTCTCTACTAGGCAAAAATATCTGGTCACCTAAACAATAAAGTCACTCCACACTTTTTTCAACACAATGAACTAAAAATATATGACAAAATATTTCAGAAATAAAGGAAGGGAAAAAAGCTCCACTAACCTTTGTTCCTGGTAACCCTGGTAAGCCCGGTTCTCCTTGAGGACCAATGAAACCTGGTTCTCCCTTTTAAAAAAGATGGGCATATGAGATTGTTATTCATTTGGCAGTAAATAAGTAAAGTTAAACTGATTTACTTTTACTGGGATTTTACCCCTTTGACTGTATGCAGCTTTCCTGCTAGACCCAGCCACTGAGTAGAAAATTAATCAGAACTGGTTTTGGTCAGTGAAAATACTCTGGGCAGAACTTTGGAGAAACTTAAGAGAGTAAAATTGACAAAGAAACCAGACCGATGTCTTTACAAATTTCTTTGTCATCTGTTGTCCTCTATTTCTTATCATTTACCAAATTAAGATCCATTATGTTAGGGTGGATGTGGTACGTGGCCTCTAAGACAGGCCTCAACGATCCCACCTCTTGGGTATTCACGTCTTTGTGTAATCCCCTCTGCTAAAGTGTAGACTGGACTTACTGACTCATATTTAATGAACAGAATATATTGGCAGAAGTAATGGGATATCACTTCGGAGACTAAGTTATAAAAAGACTGTGGCTTCCATCTTGGGGGCCCTTTCTTGTTCTCTCTTACTTGGATCACTTGCTTTGGGGAAAGCAAGCTGCCATGCTCTGAGCAGCTCTATGGGGAGGCCCACATGGTGAGGACCAAGTTCTGCCAACAACCATGTGTGTGAGTTTGGGAGCAGATGGTCCACTCCAGCGGAGTCTTCAGATGAAACCACAGTCCTGGTTGACAGTTTGACTGCATCCTCATGGGAGACACTGAGCCAGACGCACCCGTCTGAGTTGTGCTCAAATTCCTTTTCTTCCAAAACTGTGAGGTATTGGATGTTGTTAGTTTTGGGGGTAATATGGTAGGCAGCAATAGATAACTGATATATAGGTGTGGCCAGGGAAGAGATTCAGGAATGTTCAGCATGAAAGGAGAAATATCTCTCCTTGCTATACCTCCATAACCTCTTCCCCACTACCTGGAGGAAACCCAGCTGTGATATATTAAAATATATATTTGGTCTTGTTCCTAGTTCCTTGCACAGAGCTCCTAAAACCCTTGGAATTTCCTGAGTGATAACGAGGAATAGGAGTATCTTTTGTTATTCATAACAAACCCCTTTCAAACATACCTGAATTTATGCTAATGAGGTGACTTGGTGGGTTCCTAGATAGCTTCAGGAGGGGGGTGTTAAAGTTGTAACTTTCAGTCCTTCTCCTCTCACCGTCTCCAGAGAGAGGGACTGGCAATTGAGTTCAATCATCAACAGCCGATGATTTAATCAATCATGCTTATGTAATGGAACCTCTATAAAAATCTTTAAACAGTAGAGATCGGAGAGCCGCCAAGTTGGTGAACACATCAGTGTGCTGGCAGGATGGTAAATCTCAACTCCACGGGGACAGAGGCTCCTGTGCTTGAGACTCTTTTGACCTCACCCTACCTACCTCTTCATCTTAATCTTTTTATAATAAACTGTAATAGCATGACATTTCCCTGAGTTTTGTGGGTTATTGTAGCCAATTATCAAACTTGAGTGGGGATGAGGGTGGGTTGGTTGCTAGTACCCTCGAATTTGTAGCCAAGTCAGAAGGGCAGGTAACCAGGGGACCCAGTACTTGTGATTGGGGTCCTTAGACCATCCTTTATATAAAGAGGTTGAAAGTGAGGGCAGCTTTGTGGGACTGAGCCCTTAAAGCCTGTGAAGTCTGATGCTAACCCTAAATAGTTGGTGTCACAACAGGACTGAATTGTAGGACACCCAGTTGGTGTCAGAGGATCAGAGAGTTGGAGAATTGGTGTTGGAAAAGACACATGTTTGTCAGAAAACACCTGAGACCAGTGTTCATATTTTCTTCAGTATCCATAAAGTTTTATTTTCTTTTTAACAATGTGAGCTCAAATGTGAGGGTCTAACTTCCTGAAATCTATAAAGAAGTTTTAAAGCAAAAAATGTAATGGCTCTGTTCCCAAACTTACTGCTTCTCCCCCTCCATTTGGATTATTTCTGGAGCAGTTGCTAATGTTATTAATTCATTTCATTTTTTTCTAACGTAGCGATATTTCAACATTTGTTTTTTGATACTTAGAGTTGAGCAGGAAGATACAGAGAGGATGTTTTATGAAAAGTGTTTAATGTCATCAAATATTTTGAAACACGTCAGTTTTAAAAATATGCCACATAAAACCTTGGGTACTGGGTGGGGAACAAACGGATATCACTACCACAAAATGTATCACATTGATACAGAACTCAAATATATTTATCTCTAGCTCTGATGTAATTTTTGGATGATCTCTTAATTGTCTAAAATGAAAATCAACAACAATATTCGGAGAAATCAATGATGACCATTCTACATTAAAAAGAATTTAACTTGTTATTTTAAACAAAAAAATCACATGGAATACATTTATTTACAAGTAAGATATTTCTCCCAGGAAAATTTCATATACAAATTCATAAATATTCTCTGTCCACCCTCAAGAAAAAGTGGCAATAAAGTCAATGTGTATCATTAGTAATGACTTACTGTCACGAAAATCTAATATGAGTTAATAGGTTGAAAATCTGCATATCTTCAAGTAGAAATAAACTGATCTCACTATTTAGCAAAGCAAATAGAACACTATTAAAGCATACTAGTAAAAGAGAAGAAAAAAGAGTAAATGCTGAAAAAATGTATTTCTTATTCAGGTTAGTGTTTAGTTTATGCAAAGATGAAGCATGCAGTTTCAAAATTCACAAATAACTAAATAAGGCCTTGTGATCTCAGTGGTCAGACAAAAGTGATTTTTCTTCCTTTAAAAAAATGGAATATACATTAAATTTTCCTGAGGAAAGTATAGTAGGTTCCCTTAAATAGAATTGAACGTTCAGGGGGGAAAGTTTTTATTTCCAGATACACAATTAGCAATGCATTTGACAGTCACAATGATTTTAGCATTGCTAATACTGGCTACTTTTAAAGACTTTGAGTATGATTAGTTTTACCTTATTTCACTCTAAGAAAGCATCTACCATATTGATGTATTCATTTCTTACCTCAATTTATTCAAGGGGAAATAGCATACTTAACTTTAAGATCACAATTTTAGGTTTATTTAATTCCAGAGCTCTCAACCACTTTGGAGACATTTTCTTAATCTTCTCCATATCTTGGCAGGATGGGGAGGAAATAATCAATGGTCTCTTTTCTGTCTCAGGCTTGAAAGACAATTGTTGAAGTAAATAATGCATAAATATATCTACTCATAGTCTTGAGCTGGTCGGGTGTTTCTTAACTTCCTAAACTAATGACAGAGGTGCTCAACCTCTTTCATTTACCCGTATTAGTGTACACAGTAGGAAAAGTTCATTGATATGGTTTCAGATTCCACATTTCATTTAACCTTTAAGAAACTACCATTTGTAGAGTTTGGGTAGTACTGAAGAAGAATATCTACAATTTTATGAAAAGCCTATTAAAATAATCTTCCCTTGTCCAATGACATATCTGTGTGAGGCTGTTTTTCTTCATACACTTCAACTAAATCAACAAATTGCAACAGATTGAATGCATAAGCAGATATGACAATCCAGCCACCTTCTGTTAAGCCAGACATTAAAGAGATTTGCCAAAAATAAAAAAAAAAAGTATAACAATGCACTGTTCTTGCTAATTTTTTTTTCTTTTGGAAAATTCAGTTAAATTTATAAACAAATGTTATTTAATTAACACATAATGGTTTTTAAAAAATTCCTCAGTTTTAATTTCTTTTTTTTTTTTTTAATTTATTTGACAGAGAGAGACCCAGCAAGAGAGGGAGCACAAGCAGGGAGAGTGGGAGAGGGAGAAGCAGTCTTCCTGCTGAGTAGGGAGCCCAATGTGGGGCTCGATCCCAGCACCCTGGGATCATGACCTGAGCCGAAGGCAGACGCTTAATGACTAAGCCACCCAGGTGCCCCTCGGTTTTAATTTCTAATACAGAAACCTCAATAGATATAAGCCTACATAAATGAAAATTCTTTCAATCCTAGTTTTTAAGCATGTAAAGGAGTCTTGAGACCAAAATTTTTGAGAACTCTTGGTACAAAAGTACAGAATTGAGTTAAAGCCTGGCTTTGCAAATTGGAATCCTGAGGTGCCCAATAACGGAAGATTCTACTGTTTTTAAAGGGTGGCATAGACAAGACTTATAAGATAATGCAAGCAAAACACTTAATGTTGTCTTTAGAATAAAGTAAGTGAACAATAACTTTGTTATTATTGTTGCCCTTATCTTACAGTCTCAAAAATGTTAGCTATCATCATTATTATTGTGGTTAGTAATAGTATTACATCATCTCTGCAACTAATTGGTGATATGCAAGGTGACTTTTTGTTTCTCTACGATCTGTATGGGGCTATACACAATACCTCTCCAACTTCTTCCAAGAAGTAACCCTAAATTTTCTCATGTGAATATATCATCATTTCATGAGACAATATCCAGCTGTCAGAGACTGTAGGACTACAAAAGCAGAAGTGTATATATAAGGTAAAGAAGTGACAGGTGTACTAAGAATGAGTTTTCTTCCTGTAAGGAAGGAAAAGGAAAAAATGGTCATAACTACTGAATTTCTCTAAGTAAATGTAATCCTTTAAAAAAAATCTTTCCTCTTTGACAAGGACTGATTAAAAGTTCTAACCTCCTAAAATGTCTCGGAGAAAAGCCATGACAACCTATGGTTTTGTGGTGAAAAAAATAAGCAATTGGTTATTCTAGTGTAGTCACAATTCTAGTTAATCAGGATAGAGGAAGGAGACTGACTTAGGAGAAGGTAGGGGAAAGGAGCTGAAATATAATCGAAACACAAAACACTTTTGGGAAAAAAATCTTTGGAGAATATCAGACTATATAAAAATGAGGTTATATAAGTTTTCAGGGTGGAGAACTATTTTTATTGTACTATATAATAATCCTCAGAACTGTTTTTATACATCTAATCTGATTTAATCAATGGGAAATAAGATTGCTAAATTGGAAATTACTCACACATATTTGTTTGAGCACACAAGGTAGGGGTAGA